GGCTTGAGCCTTAGCCTTAGCCTGAGCTTGGGCTTGAGCCTTAGCCTCAGCCTGAGCTTGGGCTTGAGCCTTAGCCTCAGCCTGAGCTTGGGCTTGAGCCTTAGCCTCAGCCTGAGCTTGGGCTTGAGCCTCAGCCTGAGCTTGGGCTTGAGCCTTAGCCTCAGCCTGAGCTTGGGCTTGAGCTTGAGCCTGAGCCTCAGCCTGAGCTTGGGCTTGAGCCTGGCTTGATGCTAATGCGCCACCTATAAACCATGATACAAACACATCAGCTCAGAAAAAATAATGTTCAATATCTCCTTGTAAATATTGATCGAAGGAGTGTGTTTGTTTTACCCGATGCACTGCCATCCCCATGTTTATTGCCTCCTTCATCAAAAAATTGGTCAATTGAACGATTTTCGAAGTGAGAATGAAAAAGTATGATTGAATCGAAGTCTGTCATTTTCAGCTTGGTTTATCTTTCAACTGTATGAATATGCGTCATGTTCCACTGTCATAATTATTTCTCGATACAGCTGTCACTTTATTAACATATTAATAATTTATTAATATTTTAATAAAATGAATTTTTTATTAACGTTAATAAAATATAGTGCATTTTATGAACATATTAATATTATTAGTATGGTGAATTTTCGGTTATTAATATGTTGTCGATTTTATTAGAATTCTAATAAATTCGACAACATATTGGATTTTATCCGATTTTATCAACGGACGACATCATGTTCACATCAAAGTCTATTCAACACAGCGTTTAGATTAAGATAATCATTTATCACGACAAAATCTCGATGAAAAACGAGTCTGGAAATATTTGACATGTTTTTTGTATGAAACTTCTCTTCGCAATTTTTTTTTAAAGTTTCATACAAAAAAAATGTCGAATATCTCCAGACTCATTTTACATCGAGATTTTGTCGTCTGGCAAAAACTGACATGAATTTTGTATGAAACTTTTCAAAAAAATTGTGAAGAAAAGTTTCATACAAAAAACATGTCGAATATTTCCAGACTCGTTTTTTTGAGATTCTGTCCTGATAAATGATTGTCTTAATCTAAACGCTGTGTTGAATAGACTTTGATGTCGTCCGTTGAAAGAATAGGATAAAATCCAATATGTTGTCGATTTTATTAACATTTTAATAAAATCTACACCATATTAATAACCGAAAATTCACCATACTAATAATTATTAATATGTTAATAAAATGCACTATATTTATTAACGTTAATAAATATGGTGTTTCAAAATTTTTATTAATTATTAAAATATGTTGTTTATTAACATATTAATAAAATACCGATTTTTGACAGCTGTATTTCTCGATGCATTTAACATGTAAGTCTTTTGTCTTGTGACAGTGAAAATTCGAATCGACCCATCAATTATTCGATGACAATCAATCAGATAAATGCAGCTGAAAATATATGACGAACGATTGAGAAATCAATCGCTACCTGAAGTGGCCAATCCAGTGGTGTGTCCACCTCCTGCACCACCCGCAATGCCCCCAGCACCTCCATTACCACCAGTTGCGCCTTGCACACCTTTTTCGACACCCCCTAGAATTCCGTTTAATAATCCCCCGACGAGTTCACGGCCTCTAGCTGCCGCTTGTCCCAGCGGACAAGCACCGGGAGGAGGGAGAGGCAAACATGGCGAAGGTGTTACGAGAACAGCCTAAAGATTCAATTTGCTTTAATGCTGCAGAATCAATTTGATTTTTATCAAAATTTACCAAGTTAAGGGCCACAACTGCGATAAAGATAGCTTTCATCTTGAAATGTACTGCTTTTGCCAGAAAGAACAAAGAACTAGTGATACATTTTCCGTCGAACTGGGTGCCTTTTATACATCAGGTTTCGAAGATGTGAAGCATATTAATTTTACGCATTTTATTCTTAATTAGAAAATTATTGGCATGTTTTAACAACACGTGTTCAAAACTGTTCGAATGCAAAATTCAATTACACCGAGACAGTTATCTCTGAAATTGGTAAAGAATTTGAAATAAATTGACATATGGTACCTGTGTTGATATGGCAAAAAAGCTTTCTCGAAACAAAAACGATTGATGCTATGCAGCAATTTTTTGCATTTCCTTATATTCGACATATGGACACACATGTTTATCAAGTTGACAGTGACAGTGACAGTGCAACAGAAAAATTTATTTAACGAGTTTTCGAAGAATTTCGATATGAATTGCGCATTTTTTTAAAATTTAAAATAGTTATCAACACCAAATTCACGGTCATTGAAAGCATTGCTTTAGAATAATATGAAACGTTTAAATGGCTGGGTTGGTAAATTTTCAGATTTTGAGCGACGTGTAAGTAATTTACGTAAGAAACATGCATCTATGAATTTTTGCATGGCTGTTATGTGTCATTTGAATGGCATTATAATAAATTTTTAGTAAAAAGTTCCAACTATTTCTGGAAATATAAGACGTTGAATCGGATTCATGCTGAAAGTCCCATTTTCAAATGGAAATGGAGAATTATCGAACCATAATGCAAATATTTTCACAAATAGTTGAACACATGAAAAATATTTATATTACTTTTTGTTCATCATCAGAATTATTTTTTTTACATAAAGAAAGAACAGAACTTATTTATTTTCCAAATCTATGGGTGAGATTGAGAGTAGTGTATGTTTTTTTCGGATTTATATTTTTAAAAAGTCGAGTATGTTTTCCAGTGATTTTGTTTTAAGATAAAGAGAGCAAGTTTCTTTCGACTTAAAAATAGTTAAAGTAGAGTATTTTGACTGTTTGTGGCGAGTATGTTTCATAAACCTTAATTTGCGTTAAACAAGAGTATGTATTTTGTTAGTTTGGAATACCAATAAACAGGAGTATGTTTTTCTGTCTTTGGTTGTTGGAAAAGGCGAGTATGTTTGTCCAAATTGGTGAATATTATTAATTTATTTGAATTTAAGTATTAGCAAACATAATCAATAGAACTAATCATTTGTACATCCCAATACTTCAATTTAACACAGTGGTTTTCGAAAAAGTGGAGTATGTTTGCATGAATGGTTAAAAATATCAAGTTCTTTCGACGAAGAGTATCAGGAGTTCATAATTGTTAGCATTAAAGAGAGAACGTAATCGAGCTCTGCTTATTGTACAGCATCACCATGAACGAGCGGTATACGAGCCAATGTATAAGAGTGAAATGACAAAATCACTGAAACCGTAGCGCATGGAAAATAACACAGAAGAAATGTGACAACAAACAAACATTGCGAAATTGCAACGCATCGGAGAGAGTGAGAGAATCTCTTTCACTCACGCACAACAGCAAATATTCACAACACGCTAACACTGACAACTAATACCAACGCAAATCAAAACAATTGATTTGTATTGCTGACATCACTGAGTCGGTCGAGTTTTACAAATTTACCTTCCCCAATTTACCTTCCGAAATCAACTGGATCTAAAAACTGACCTATTTTGGATCACCAAACTTAGAAGATTAGTTTCGGTCACAACAATTTTCGAATCAAAAATTTCGATTGGAATTATAATTTTTCTAACATTTACCACGCTTTGGATTTGTTACTATCGTTCAATTATCATCGAATATTTAAAAAAAAAATCAAATGTTCACACTAAAATATGGAATAATCAAACTAGTAGCCAATGACACTTATACGCGAGTTGATTTACATCTAGCAATAAACGAACGAAAAATGTCACTACTTTCTTCGACTTTCTAGTTACATTAGTCACTAAACAACCGTCAGTTCACTTGTTTGACGGTTTATTTACATCATACACTAATTTTAAAATAACAGATTTGGATGTGTTGTGTGAAGCAAACACAAACTTGCTGAAAATGTTAATATATTCCTGTTATCACCATTTTTCGACCAATAACAAGTCAAGCAACCGAGTCGAACTAAAATAAGTATTAGGTCATTTTGCAGCCGCAGCCATCGGTAGAGTCAATGTTGATAATGTCGTAAATATAAATATTATGAACAATATCTATGCCAAAAATATCCACTTCACTCAAAAGAAACCCATATTACGGTAGCTCATTCAAATAACAACGCAACTGTTACCAAGTTCAGAGTTACACTTTTCACCGGGAAAAATGTTTACTTGTTACATCGCTGGAGCTATAAAAATAGATTTCATCGTGAGCGACACTTTATGTTTGTGTACAACTCTGAATTAGCTTTTAAACACCCAATTGATTCTCGATTTCAGCTATTTTACCTCCACTTAAAACTCTCCACATTTTTATTGAAGAAATTGAAATTACAGTGTGTATTTACAAAACTAAAACAATTATTTGATTTCAAAAATAGTTCCAGACTTTATAGTCAAACGGTAAATTCAAATAAATCAATGTGGCTAAGCAATGATAATAAGCCATAAAGTTGACGCACGTATAAATTACCAGTAGAAAAATTTCAGTAAATATTCTGAATAGAATAAATCGATAGTCAAAATGATAAGCGATTAATGTAAAATAATCCGAAAAACGATGAACACACGTTTCGTTCCAGGTATTGAATGGAAAGGCCAGTATAAACAAGTGACCGCTAAAATGCAAGCCGTTAACATTGAATATTCATAGAAAGCGGTAAATATTGTCTAGGTCAATGTTGTTTGTAACTTGTTACTGCTGAGAGTGCGAATGCGAATGGGAAAAATCGAATGTAATTTTCAGTGAAAATACCGGTAATTCGGTGGCGAAAGAGTGAATTACATTCAGAACAGACAGCGTATGATGTAATAACTTCAACAATCAATCTTCCTTCTTTGAAACATTTTTTTTTTCTTTCGTGTTTTTACCCAGTAAACACAAAGTCAAAAGTTTTCACCGCATTTATTTTGAGCACATTGAAACATTTCGTATAATCGAAATCCAATTTAAAGTTGAATAATGCATGGGTTCCTATCGACAAAATCAGTATTCCGTGTTGAGTTGGATTTCGTTCGGCATTGATTTGACACTCATAGAAAGCATAACAAAAGAGCTAAAACAGAACGAAAAAAACGGTTCAAGGCCACATATGAGTGATAATGTGCATCGTCATCATCATCATTGTTAGCGTCGAAGAATTAAAAATGTTTTAACATTTTAAAACAAAAGCATTCACATTTTCATGATTTCATCTAGATGAATTTCATTACAGTTATGATATTAGCATATATCATTTTTTTCTGCACTCACCCGATCCCTTTCCCTTTCTCTGTCTCTGTCTCTCTATTGGTGTCGTATTTATTTTGCCGACATACCCGCAAACGATGTACTTTGCGCAATGCGCATTATCCGAGGAAAAAAAATTCCATCAAAATATACGTCTATATTCACGTTCCCAACGGAGAATACCCTACAAAATTGATTTCTGTGTTATACGCACAAACACTGGTATGTGCCATTCACTTCTACATATGATTTTCCATTATTATCATCATCATCATCACTTTTCTCGTCTCTTCGTTGTGTACTTATAGTCACTGTTGTGTACTCAACACAACAACATTATGGGCTGATGTCAATATGCATCGCGAGGATAAAAATCGATTTGTGCAATTTAAGCCTTTTTTGGAATTTCTGTTTTTTCCCCTGCTATTTGAATAATTTCGTTGATGAATAGGAAGACTAACGAGTAGCCACACTGATAACGAGTTAGTTCAGATATATGTATAGGAAGAAAGGCAAAAAAAAATGTCAGGAGGAAAATGCAAAAGGTGACTTACCAATCGAACATTGAAACACGTTTCACACAACAACAAAAAACGATACACGTAAACGAATCCAAGACACCAACACTAGAAAAAATTATTTTGATTTGATTCAATGTTTGTCTTTAACCTTTCTCTTTTTTTTCCAAATCGTAGAATTTATGATAGATAATTGGTTTTTGTATTCATTCGATTTGACGTAAATTTTCAGTAGCACTTCATCTCGTGTTAATACGGAATTATTATACTTTCACTTATCAAGCGAACTCGTGGACTAAATGCGTATTATCTGACACAGAAAAAAAACAGTTAACGTGTTATTAAAATTGCAACGCAATAATGTAATACAATCACAATTCAACCAATCAAAGAAATCACCAAATGATAACTGCTCGTCGTCAATTCACTGCTTCTGTACGTGCAATTTTGCGAATGAATGAACGAAGAAAACCACAGTAAAACAAAATATATGGCACTGATTCAATTTCTATGCTATTTTATCATATATATGTATTCATTGCGATGAACATATCATTCTAATTGAATATATATTACGTCGAATCGTTCGTCGTCGTCGGTCGACCGTTTTCAAACTATAGACAATATATTTATGATATTTCAAGTATAATCTTATTTACACACAATGCACACACAACTGAATGTGTCACATACTCTCGTCACGTCCGCTCATGGATATATAATGGGCAGTGTGCGTTCTGGAGTACACATATCCACCAAAATATCGATAAATTTGGACGATATGTGTGGGAAATGCTTAATGAGAGCGCGCGCACGACAGAGACAGCAAATGTTGCCTAGTGAAACGTCAAAGTGGTTTTCGAAAATGGCGTTCGTACACATACACACTGTCCAACATACACACAACCAGACTGCACAGCGTACACCATATTATGCTCAGTCAATTGGATAGCGCTAATTTCGAAATTACTCTGACGATGTCCGAAAAATGTTTGGAAAATTATGGCATTCTTCCATTGAATGGAGAAAAAACGTAAATATAAAATCTTAATGTGGTTAAAAAAAATTGACTTTTATTTCAATTGCTATATACTTTTTGTCATTATGATGTTTTGGTTTTATTTTTCTCTTTTGTACCAGTTTTAATAATAATTGAAATAGCGCTCGTACATATTAAATACATTTCAAATACACATAACAATCAACTCAAGACAAAGTCAACATAATAAGAATTAATACCAAGCACAAGTAGAGAGGATGGAGGAGGGTAGAAGGTAGAACAAAAATATTGTAAAAACTTTTAACTAAATTCAATTTTCTTCTTCTTTCGTTTGGTGTGTCTGTCTGTCTATGAAATGTGTCCAGTTGGTAAAATTGGCTCTGAGCTAAAAGTCTTGCGGGGGCTTGTTGCATTGGACGCTGCTGTTCGATCCACTTTCTCGTCATGACGTTTCACCAGATGATCGTCCGAAAAACTCGTTCCTCGCGTTCGACACGAACCAATGTTCTGCCTGTAGAATGGAAAACAATCGAATGTTAGTGTGCAATGCTGTGTGTACAGTTAGAATTGACCGAGAGAGAAATTATATCCTGTTCAATATTTTGTTCGTTGGAAACTTCCAAATTATGATTTTAGAATAATGTAATTAGCGACAATTTACCTTGGCAAATTGATATTTTCTTCACTCGTCGAATACACCTTCACATTGGCTGGAACTGATAGCATCATATCGATGGACGTTTCCGAAATGGATGACATTGGCGCATCATGTGCATCAATTGCCAGGAATGATGCACTGGCCGATTCTTGAATCGCATAAAATCTCTCCGTTGTCTGATCACCAACCGATAATATTGCCAAAAGATTTGGAAGTGTTGCCCGTAAGTCTTCACGTGACACGTGTATGTTTAACATGAATTTTATTTGTGATATATTTTGATTAAGTAAAAATGCTGCGTACAGCAGCGAATCACTTGGAGGAATGTTGCGACAATACAGGGGAAATCTGAAAATGGAACAGAAAAGTCGATTAAATTGTAGATTCAAAGTTCGATTGAAAATAAGTTCATTGTAAAAAAAAATCGTTTTTTGGCTCCTCCCACTCCAATTAGTAGAAACTTACTCTCGATCATGTTCGGAAAGCATTTTGATATCATCACGAATTTTCGATGCACTTCCTTGGTAGATGATTTTATTCCTGTTCAAAAGAGAAAAGGTAATGAATTATTGTTTTTCGAACTTTTTGGGAAAAAAATGCAATCACTTTGAAATCGATCCGCATGGGCTCACCTCAATGGAACGTTTAAAACAGATGAGCATAGCAAGGCGACATGTGCAACGTAGCAAATGGCAACGGAAAGACTTAGGGCTGCATTGTTTGTGCCGGGCGGATTCGAGCTGTAATACATGCGAAGTGCGTCTGTGTTGGGTAGGCAAATGCCGTTAATCTCATAAATTCCACTTCGATCATGTTCTTTAATCACATAGATATCACGCAATTGGCCGAGCAGTTGATGTTGTCGTTGTATCAGCGATTCTTTAACCTTTTCAAATATTTTCTGTCGGCTCGAATGCAGTGATTTTTGTTCGAATGTCGAATCACGGCTCAGCTGACGATAGTCATCCATGAGCCACGATTCCTTTTCAATGTTTTCGTCATTGAGTTTGGTGCATTTGTCGTGCAATTTTCGCAGTATCACTTTGTATCGATCGCGTTCCATATTGAGAAATCGGCATCGAAATTTGGCGGTTTCAATTTTGCGTCGCAGTTCTTGTGCCCGTAGCAAATCTTCGGGCTTGGGTTGCTCTTTCTGTGCCGTCAACAAACGGTTCAACGTTCGGCCAATCGATGGATTACCTCTGGGCCGATAGAGCATTCCTTTGTTAGCAATAAGCTGTAAATTCAAACACGATGCACTTTTCATGCATATCTTTTCCATCACTTCGTTGGCACTCTGTGTCATTCTTCGGTAAATGCGTTGCTTCTCCTGCAGCATCAGCAACTTTTGCACGTTATAACTGCGTCGAATTTCCCATTTGAAGAATTCCTTGTCCAAAAATCGAACCTTCAAAATGGTCGGATCGCTAAATGTATACTCTTCATCGGCACTCTGATCCTGGGCGTCCTGATTTGAATGATTTTGCTTGTGATGCGGCAAATTGGCGATAGCATCGCATGACGGTGATAATCTGCCACTGACATACTCATTGTCATGTCGTTTTGGTGAATTGGCCATCGCCTTACGGTCAACACCGCCACCGACATCAAGCTCATTTAAATAATTTCGACTTGCATTCAAGCTATCACAGTTTTTGGCGGTGTTAATTGTGTGGACAGTCGTACCTTTGGTAGCAATTACATTGTTAGTAGTATTTTTCGTTAGCAATCCTTTGTGTGTGAATTGTGTCGATTTCGGTGGCTGTTGCAGTTGTCGCTGATTCCGTGATGTTGTTTCGTAAAAATGGTTATATTGCTTGGGAACACTTTCGGCTAGCAAATAATCGACCGATGTGAAAAAACCGCCGTGAATGTAAAAAATTAGCGCATTATCCATTAGTTTAACCTCTGAACGCTTTGTTATCGGCACCAAACCGGAAAAATATACGCCCCATACAAACAAAACCTTGTCTTTGCCATTGCTAATATCGTTCGAATGGTGTTCGTCAATTGGTTCAAAATGGTTCCAGCCATGATGCGAATCTTGAAGTATCACAGTACCACTCGATGATAGTCGTCGTAAATGTTTTGTATCGCTGTGTTCGGCATTTCGTGCACGATTCGTTTGCCACACACGAACCACCACAAATTGTGACGTTGATTTGTGAATACTTTGGCAATTGATTTCCGCCCAAATTGCATTTCGAAATGATTCAAGTGGTTCACTGGTGAAAAATGGGCTACTCATCAATGTCAAATGCAATGTGAAATAAATCGAAGTGTTTGGCTCAGCATCGATGTTATGACCCGTGATTTGGATTAGGTTCCGCAAACGCAGCTGCTGTGTTGCAATTGGACTCCAATCCCGACATCGCGGTCGATTAATCATGTTCTGTAAATAAGAAAACAGATTTTTCTTAAATTCACACCAAAAATAGCAGCCCACAGCAAAAGAGAGAACATATGTCTCATCACAGTGAACAATACAAAAGAAAAATATTCCGTTTATAATTGAATTATGTTCACAACAAACACGCACACACAACAAAAATACCACAAGTGCTTTTATCTACGATCTATATATATAAATACCTCATCGTAATCTCACTGAATTGCTATGAAAAAAATCCAAATTGCACAGAATCGTGCATTTATTTCCCTGGAATTTTAGCTGCAACACACACAAAACCCGTTGCTGTTTTGGCGCAGAACAACAAAAGTTCACATCGATCGATGGTTTTTGTTTAATTTGAAAATTTTTCTCAATTTTTTTCTCAAGTGAAAATACGAACTCTTTGTTTTGATAAAAAACTAATGCCATGTAATTCACATTTGACAAGTGAAATGTCACTTGTGTTGTGGAGCTGCTTGAAATGTCAAAATCGCTCCGTATTAACCACAGTACCACCAACATTATAGGCGAAGCAACTAGCGAGCATGGGATATTCATTGCCGCTCGAAAGTGAATGAATGTTAATGAGAATTTTTTAAAAAAATTAATGCAAATGAAAAGCAGTTTCTTATATTTCCCCATGTTTACGGTTAATTTGTACAGTTTACGATATCTCTTATCGATTCAACCATCTAAAAAGTCTATCCATTTAGGCTTTTCGATGCAGAAATTAGCGCGAAAATGTGTTTGAGCGATTTTCGATTGAGTGTTTACAGAAGCAGATGTTTTTTTGTTGGTTGTGCATTGTGCATTGAAACAACTACATGCAACAAGGCTGCGATTCTTTCGTAATTTATCGATAAAATATACTAATTGAATTCCATGCTCGTTCTATTCTCCACACCCATTGTTTGTTATGGCTTTTGTAAATGCGTATTTATTCGTCGATGATGGATTGAATAGCATAAACAGGACACAAAACATAGTTTTGAATTGATAATCACCGATAAAACAGTAAAATCAAATTGAATTTAGGAAATTTTGCCACAACATTCGACTATTTTGCTTGCAAATATATCGTCTCTATAAAAATAGACATAGTCGAATGATATGAGAGCATGTTTCGTATGCTCATGCAAAGCATGCCGAACAGCACACGGTGCTATGGTATTCAGTGCGATAGAATCGAAGTCGCATTTATTTTTAACACCATGTTCGACTACACCTATTCTTTCCAGCGCTGCGTCGCTATTTCATCTTCCACTCTGACTCAGTTTTGGTATGTGGGTCCGTGGCGCAACGGATAACGCGCTTGACTACGGATCAAGAGATTGCAGGTTCGATTCCTGCCGGACTCGACAAATCATTTTTTTTTCTCTTTTTTTTTCAAACATTTGTCTTGTTCTTTGGTTTTATGCTTTTCTCTGAGTGGTTTTCAAATTTTCTAGTTGAAAAGATCGGAAAACTTTCTTTTAGTCTGAATATAGTTTCTTGATGAAGTAAAAATCAAAATTGTTCATAAGTCTCTCTATTTTGCGGTGTAAATTGAAACGGATACGTTGAATTTTATAGAGATCCCGTGTACAAATATTGTACCTGACCAGTCAGTATACTAATTTCGGACAAAAATGACTTACTTTGATTGACATTTCAGTACAACGTGTAGTGTAAGTCTATCAAAGTTAACTGAAATCATTTAAAGTTACAAGTCAAAATAAATTGCTTATTTTGGGACAAAGTGATTTTCTTCATACAAAAACATAAATTCAATCAACTAAAGTCAACTGAATCTAAAGTCAGTCAGTCATTTTTTTTTCACAAGAGATAAGGTCTATTTAATACAAAGTTGTTCATTTTGTTATCAGCAACACTTATTGTTATGATAACCACCAAGATAACGAGTTATTCCACACTTTTCAGCTTAATTTTTTTTTTTGGAAAACACGCAGGGAAATGCATAAAAAAGCAAAGTAAAAAAATGGTTAGAAAAAAGAGAAAAAAAAAGATTCTCGAGTCCGGCAGGATTCGAACCTGCAATCTCTTGATCCGTAGTCAAGCGCGTTATCCGTTGCGCCACGGACCCACATACCTAGAATGAGTCAGAATAGAAGATGAAACAGTGACGTGGCACTGTAAAGAATGTTGAACACACATGCGACTTCAGTCTATTATACCGAGTACAATCACATCGTGTGTTGTTCGGTATGCTTAGCACCAGCATATGAAATGCGCTCTCATGCTCCATATCAAGCGGCTTTGTATATTTTCATTAGGATGTTGTTTTTTGCATGCAAAATATTTGAATGATGTGGACAATTTTTCGGAATTGAATTCGATGTCACTGTTTCATTGGTGACTATATTTTCGAAGCGTGAGAAAATTTGGCTCTTTGTCATGTTTATGCCATTTTTTGCGTAAAAATATAAACAAACTCGAAAGCATTTCCAATGAAAGCATCGATGCCAAAAAAAACATCTGCTTCTGTAAACACTCAATTGAAAATAGCTCAAACATTTTTTCGCGCCAATTTCTGAATCAGCTAACCGATGAAATGGATTTACTTTCTCGATGAATGAATTGAAAAGAGATGTCACGAACTGCACAAATAAGTTGTAAACATTGGGTAATATGAAAATACGTTTAATTTATATTCAAACTCTGTAGAGGGAAACAAGGGTCTGAGTGTCTGAATCAGCGTCTCTGTAGCAGAATTGAAAGCAGATATTGTTATGTATACAAACAATGTTTGGAGAAATTGTTTGGATTTTTTGGTTTTGAGAATACAGATCAAATTGTGAATCGAAATTTTTAACGGTTTTTCATGTTTCTTGTGATAACAACCGGTTGGCGATGTTTTTATTTTATTTTCATGCTTCAATTGTGATCACAATGATAATATGTATTACAATGAGTTTGATGTAGAATATCGCTTTGAATATGCTTTGTTTTAAGACTTGAACAGTTTTGTTTTTGTTGGTCGATGTGGATATTTGTTAGGAATTTTCATTTCGAAAAACGTCGCATTTCAAATTAAACGTAGTGATATACGTGCACACGACTTGTCTCAAAATTTATTGAATCATGATCGAATCTCGATATGTGTGGTTCTCCTTGCATCCAGCGATTAATGCATGCCAATGTTTGTCGCGTGATAATAAATCCGCTTTTCCAACCACGATAACCATCACACTGAAATTGCGGAAAAAAAATTCGAGTTGAAAAATGCTATCTTTCTTTCTTTTTGAAAAATTACCGTGCACGTGACGTGGCCACATTAATGCGATTTGGGCATTTAACAAAACCCAATTGTCTATCTACATCGACAATTGCTGCGGCAGGACATGTTCGAACGGTTGAAATCAGAATGACCTTTCGTTCTAATCCTTCACAAAAAAACATAATACAAATATGTTAAAAATCATACGTGAAAACAATTTCGAGGATAATCATGAATTGAAATGGTTTTCAAGAGAAAAAATGAACGAAACGAAATTACCTTGAAAATCTTCAACCGTACCAATCATGATATTTGGCCTCTTTTCATGTCTACGTTTAAGAGCTTTGAATTGGAGAAAATACGGAGTGATGATACCGATGTCCTCTTCATTCAAAATGAATTCATCTGCATTATTCTTCACCTGCATTAGTCTGTCCACGATTTCTTTGGTCTATTTCAATTGGAATTCATTGGATTGTTTTCTTTGTTACGCCATAATTAAATTTTTAGCCTTATTTACCACTGTAACTTCGGCAACATTGAACCATGATGTTTCCCGTTTCTCATTACGGCCGTCAACATTGATAAAATGAATGCCATATGCGCCTGGTTTCTCGATTTCTTTAAAAATGCCATCCAAATGCTTCAGCAGTTTGGCCTCGCGACTGCTTTCGGCATCGATCGTTGGAATTAGCTCAGAGTTGTAGAACTGTGTATTGGGATATTCCAAAATTGATGGCAATGAACGGTAGTTTAGATCCAATTTCGAAATCAAACATGGACCAAAGTTTTTCTTATGTCCCGCATCCTGAAAACCGGAGAAAACAAAACGATTTTTTTATTCAAATGGTTTTGGATTGAGAATTTTTTGTGCGTATAAGTGTTCAAGTGTACTTACGTCATTGTTAAAATTTGAGTAGCTTTTGATTAGACGATCAAGCATTGACACACCCAGGCCACGGTTATTTGCATGTCGGTTTATGATCAGCGGAGGCATTTGCATCGGATCACCAGCCATGATGGTTTGACCTCTTTTACCAATCAACACCATTGGTACAAGTACATCGGGTTCGGTGCACTGACCCGCTTCGTCGATTACTGAATGCGTAAAATGATTGCGCAGCGAACGCGATTCAAGTAATTTGGAAATGTTTGCAAATGTTCCGATCACAACACGATAGCTCTTAACGGTCTCTAAAAGTTTACAAAGCTTCATCTGTTTTCCTCCATCGACCAAATCGTCAATGGTTTTACTGTACTCTTCAATGTCTTTTGGTATAACATCGCTTCGACTCGAGTAATTGTAAGATATCAAGCGTAGCAAACTGTCCGAATCGAGAAACTTCGATTGAGCCAAACGCTGTGTGATGAGATTTGATGCGCTGTTACTTTGGGTTAAAATTAGAATTTTAAATTCTTTGCCCAATGCCAACAGTTGTAAGATGATTTCAACAAGTGTCGTCGTTTTTCCAGTTCCTATGAATTTTAATTTTAAAGGTATTTTTTTAAAATCAAACAATAAAAAACATCTAAGAAATGTTTGGTTCCAAATTTCAACGATTTTTCGTCTGGTAAATTGTTTATGGTTGATTCAAGTGAAAAAAGAAATCCAAACATATTTACCAGGCGGTCCGAAAATCAAATATGGATTCAATAAATCGCTTCTGATGATTTGTTGAACGGCTTGTTTTTGTTGCTTGTTCAAATGTTCATTGAACCAGGAAAGTTTCTTCCCATGTGTTTGCTGTACCATTTCGTCATTTTCACCCAACAGTGGTGCGCCACGTAAACTAATTTCATTCGGCATCAGAATGTCCAATCCAAACAATTCAAGTGCTAAGTCAATAGCAAAATGTTGGCGTATGGCATATGAACGCGAGAAAGAAAATTCAATCGAATATGCTGAATGATCGAAAGTTTTAACGAAATCATCGTCGAATTTAACAACGATTAGGTCCACTTCTTTGATGTCAATGATGACACCTTCGTAGCTGATATTTGGTTTGGACTGCTTTCTCACGGTCAATTTGTCACCTGCAATTTTGTTTTGTTCAATGAACGAAATTTTCGACGAAGGTAAATTTTCATCCAGAAAATAATGTTGAATTGAGCAAAGAACAAAATATTGAAATATCCATTACTCACCCATTTGAAGTGACGGTCGTGTTTCAAATAGATCATTTACAGTCAAATCGTAAACACCTCGCTCGTACTTTTCACGGATCTCTCGTCCATTTTGCTTGGAAACCAAAGTCGTACCAAAATGCGCATTTCCTCGATTGTACATGTCTTTAAATGCCTTAGTCAATCCAATCTCCTCCAAATACAGTAAGCTGTGAAAGTGTCCTGCATAATCGTCATCGACCGCAGGCACTCGGGCATCGAGAAAATCAAGTACTTTTGATTGCGAGATATTTCTTTCGAGGCAAATCAATTCCATCAAATCATCTGGTGGTTCATACAGGCTCCTTTGAATGGTGGGTCCTTTCTTATGATAGGATATACCAATCGATCGTCGTACAATTCCCATATTCTTGAAGTGAAAGACAACTCGGGCTACACTTACGCACCTGTCCGGTACAAAGCGAGCATCCAAAATGATCGACATTTCGTGCCTTGGTTCAATTGTTGCTGTGCAAACATCACCACGTACACTAACCGACGCCAAATCGATGTGAATGGATTCCAAATAGAATGGCTTCCAAGCATTGTTTCGAATGAAAATTTCCACCGATTTATCGCATTGATCGCGATCGAATTTGATGGTTAAATTGTCATCGACTTCAATCGTACGCGGATGCTGTCGACGAAATTCCTTGATCCAATCATCTTTTGGCACATCAACTCGAAAGACTTCTCTCTCAAGCTTTGGCACTTCCACTTTTTGGATGACACTTTTAATTTTCTCTTCGGTTTCTTTTTTCACTTTGTTTTTTACACCGATTTTAAGATCCTTTTGAGTATTATTCTCAGTGGCAGTAGCTTTGTTGTCTAGATTACTTTTAAACATTTTCTTCTTGTTTTCTTACTGTTTCTCGAATTAAGCAATTGAATTATTATCGTACCAATATCCGTTGCTAAAATCCAAATCAAACTGGTTGATGTTCGCGATGTGAACACTTCGGTTGAAAAGAACGCAAGCAACTGTTCGAATATATATGAATAGAAATGAACAGCGTACGTAACAGCAGCTGATATTCACTAACACAAATGCTTGTGCACAGTTTCTTTCAATGTAAAGTTCTTATGAAGCACATATCAAACGGAGTTGTGCCAACATCAGCTATTTGTTTGTTTTAATCAAAGTATGTAAACAAACTTCTTCGGATTACATGTTGCACTTTCTATGATGGATACTGTGACTTTGGCATCTCTCGCTCTATCATTTGTTGTGCCACTGGATCAAATGCCTCAAAATTCGCCGCGTTCTGGACCACGGTCGATCGTATGTTTTAATGTGTGTAAATTTTGTTTAAGACCTGTCATTTTTTTCCTTGGACTATGCATTTCGTCGCTATGTGTGCACGATTGAAGTATTTCATACCAGTATATTTCGAACTGCATACCATCTAGTGGAAGCAATGTAAATGAAGCCTAAACTCTTCTTTGTAGGTGAAAATCAGTTTTTGATCGAACTATGTCTGTATTATATCTTCTTTTAATCAATTGCATTTATAATTCGTTAGAACAACGTATGACGAGAACACGTAAACGAAGTGAAGATGCACGGACTTTGTTAACGTCTGACAAAAGAGACATAGTTGCTGTGGCTGAATTGATTGAATCGATTGACGTGCCCTCGTACCAAGCGTCTGATTTCGTTTCAAAGTGCAATTTAGCCCGTAGTGTTTCAGTAATGACCGAGCATCCGCTACTCCGGAGTCTAAACAGATCATTCGACAACTTTGTTGTCGAAAAAGTTTTGAGTGAAGTTGGTTTTGGTGAGGTGTTGAAAATAAAAGACAACAGAATTGACAAACAGTACGCGATCAAAAGGATCAAAGACACCAAAAAGAGCACACTGACTTCTACTGCAGCGGCCGTGCACATTCCCATGGATTGACACCGCCTTGACCGAAAGCAACAATGCGCGCCGAAGGCGTTACACATCGTTTTTGTACTTCCACTTGTGACATCAAAAGTACGGCAGCCGCTGAATCATTGATTCCGGATGCATTGCCAGCAGTGACTGATCCATTCTCTTCGAAACAGGGTTTTAGTTGGCAAGTTTTTCGACGGTTGTTCCATGCTTTGGGTATTCATCTATTAACATCAATAAAATGAATTACTTCCATTCGTTAAAACCTGAAAAACCTAGGAAAACGTGAATTTCTTTACCTTTGTCAAATAACGTATCTCCGGTGCGGCTTGAAATTGGAACCGGTACAATTTCAGCATCAAAATAGCCATTCTTTTGTGCTACTTCAGTTAACTGTTGCGAGTGCGCTGCGAATGCATCTTGTTGTTTTCGTGTATTTTTATATTTTCTGTTGCAATTTTCGTCAGTGAATGTCGTAAAATGCATCAGGAATGGAAAAAAAAATCACTACAAAACTCATTTTGCCTGGGACTAGAAAATGTAACGTCCGAATGCAAACAGTTCGTTTCACACTGGCTGTTTGGTATCGTATGTTTTGTTTTATAAGCCGGTGCTTTATCGCTGTTTAGGAAATGTGTAATTCATAAGGCAACAACTATGATGAATAACTTCACTTTAGTTACGCTGATTCTTGGCGGTGATAGTGTTTGTAATCTGTTTGGCTAGAACAGAACTAAGCTTTTGTCGAGCTTCCAAATAGAAGCTTTTTTCTATACTCCAAATTAGAAATAGCTCATCGAATGAAATCTATCATAATACACAGCTACAACACGATGATTTTTTCATATCTTTCGTTCAAATATTTTACGCAGAAGAATACTTTGTTCAATTTTTTTAGTGAATTCACTGATTCCGTACCGTTGGTCCAAACAGTTTTGTTCATCGCTTCCATCGTCACAGACTTGAATAAAAGATTTATCACAAATGGTGACTTTCATTCATTTACCTCGTATTTCATCACAGCGATAGATTGCCACTCGAAGCATTTAAAAATACCCGTATACAGCGACCATCCGTATATGTAAATCCCCAATCAATTCCTTTGTGAGAACATTTAATCAAGTAATGTGGTATGAGAGCAGCAAACCAGCAGCTGATAAGCGCTAAACTAGTTTTGATTATGTAAAATTAGATTGTGCAAAACGTATTTTACTGATCATATTGATAAGGACTTTCGGAAAAATGACTTGTTGGCAAAACGATCGTACGCTTTGCTTACATGAATAATTTCTCATCAGCAATGCATTTCAGTCTCAGTTGAACATTGAACAGCAAAGACTCGGATGATCGAAAATGAATTTCAAAATCTGTTTTTATCTAGGGGGATTTCACTCTATGCGAATACTGCTATTCGTACGAATGCGCGAATACTTTGCCATGCATTTGAATATAAACACTCGCAAATACTGATATTCGTGCCGAATATTCGCATTCGTACGAATAACCATTTAATGTATCTATACGGCGCATTAGCAAATACGTCCGAATATTGCTGCGCGAATGCGAATGCACTTGACAGATCTATATTGATTTGTTGTGTTAATCGTTGCGACTACATTGTTTACATTAGTTCACCAAAATGGTAAATAGTTATTTCGATACAAATTTAATATCAATTTAAGTTGTGTTTTGTATTTTAGGGACTGGAAAATGTTATTTTCAAATTAGAAAAATATTTGAATGTAAAAATTTCGGCCGATATTATTAAAATCCTGGAATTCTGTGCATTTGAAAATGAATCATCTCTAATGTCCATTGACAACGATGCTATTATGGATATCGGGAACTATGTCATTGAAAACCCAGAAATTCTCAAAGAAACATCATACGAGAATGTGAATCATTTTAAATTTAAACCGGGTCACCGATTGCTTATCATCCAGTTGCCACAGTTAATCAAGAATTGTAATCAAACGGAAACAAATTTGCAAAAAATCGGACACCTGCGACCGCAAATGCTTGTATTCAACGTAGCTAATGCGCTTTCTGTATTAAATCCAGAATGTGTGAGAATTAATTGTAAAATTTCTGGTAGAGATTCACCTAATGCACGTTGTAATTTTTCAAACACGTCTGACATCTTTCCACATGTTTGACTGTGTTTGACACTTCATCGCAACTGAGCGCATTCGCGACGAATACATGTGCGAGTGTTTCAATACGTTTCATATGCGGAGTCGCGCGAATGCTCGCGCGGCAGTACGAATACATGGTGCGAATGCAAATACTTATACTGTTTTTTGCGAATGCAGGATTCGTACACGAATGATCATGTATTCGAATGCGAGTGAAATGCCCCTAGGTTTTTATATTTTTCTCTTCGTTTGCATCTCATTGAGCACTGTTCGTGCCATCGAAACTACAACTGATGGGTAAATTTCATTCAGAAAGTACATCACAATCTTTGAAAAGTTTATAATATTCTTCATTATTTCAATTCTCCAATGCATATCTGTTGTATTTAGTTAACTTTATTTTTCTAAAGCAATGATTTGTATTTTCAACATTTCAGAAAAGGTAATTTCGATGATATCGACCGATTTAAACCCTGAAACCATCTAGAAGACGCAGTTGAAACGAAGACTTGAACATTTGTTTAAAAAAAAACTCCTAACGAACAAAATTATCAATGTCTTTGAAAATATATTTTTAACTGAAAACAATGTTCTTTTACACTTTAAGTTATATCCATTTTTTTTATTCAAGTAACAGCTCCATGAATCTTCCTAAAAATGAATTGAAATAGTCCCCGTGCAATATTTCATTGTTCCAATTGGTTTTAACTGAACTTATAAACTCAGATGTAACTGTATATTAAGATAGGAGGGAGATAATAAGAAACCGCTAACATTCTTACAAGTTGCTGAAGAAAAATACACTTTCAATATATATACTAGGCTGATTGAAAAGTCCCAGGCCTGATGTATAAGGGACACCACAAATAAATAATCCATATCATTTTCAGAAACTGTAATCTTTTTTAGGAATTCACGCCAAATTTCATCCAAATCCGACCATCAGTTCGCTGTTTATAGTCATGCGAGTTGAATACTCCCGAAAATGCTCTAATTTTGCCGTTTAAACAGTATAACTTTCTTCTGGTGCGTTGTATTTAAGTATATTCACTTGAAGAGTTCAGAGAAAGATCAGACCAAAAAATAACAATGGTTGATGAAGCAAATTGGAACCTATTTCTTTCACTTTTATCACCATATAAACAATTCTTCGACCTGGGTGAAACTCGCATTTGAACAACACCGTTTTCTCCACCAAAATGGCAACTTTTTATTAATTGTTTGCATTACAATAGATCTAAAATGGTGCTAATATCGTTTTTCTGTCGTTTTTGACTTTGTCTGAATGGTTTATGATAATTATTTTATGCTTATTCCGACCAATAATGCCCAGAGTCATATTTTTCGACTTTAGCCGCTTCGAGCCCTCTCTTGAGATTTCTAAGCATAAATTTTGGCCCGCATCTATTCAAATGAACTCAAGAGACATTAATTTCAATATATGAAGGCAGAAACCTATTCATATTTTGCTTTTACAGCTTTGAACAGGGCTTCGAATCCTTGAATAGTTGTTTATTTTGCTCCAAAACCAAAAATGCGGCAAGACTTTTTCGATTGAATATTAAATATGTATATAACCATGCAAAATTCAAACTATAGCTTGAGTTAGTTGCCCTATGGCCTTAGCAAATGTATGCACTGCCATATTTGTGAATTTCGATATCACTTAATAGATTTTGGCAATGATTTCTTCCAAAACCACATATTTCAAACAATTTAGAGGCTTATCGACAAAATCGCTCTTATGGCTATGCATAAATCCAATTCCTCCTTATCTCATGATTGATTTCGAAAGTCTAGGGACACCATAAACTAATCCCAGTATGAATTTGATATATCTATTTGTTTTTCTTCTGAAATACATGTGCCAAATTGTCAACATAAATGCAGTTTTTTTATTATTTTGAAAAACTCACAAGTACCTTCATTCAAAGTGCTATAACTTAGGAACTGATGGTCGGATTTGGCTCAAATTTGGCGTGAATTCCAAAAAAAGATTACAGTTTCTGAAAATGATATGGATTATTTATTTGTGGTGTCCCTTATACATCAGGCCTGGGACTTTTCAATCAGCCTAGTATTTCCAATAAAATTTCCTGAATTAAAAAGACTCATACATGATTCGATTTCATGCCCATTTATTTCGATTAAAAGTTCAATAATTTGTTTAATTATTTGCTAGGTATGTATTAAATTGTATATAAAATGGCTATGCGGTAAATAAAGTGGCATAAATATTACAAACTAAAACATGAAAATGAATATAAAATTACACACCTCTCAGTCCCTTTGCATCTAAATTATTGCATCTACTAGCCTGAAGCAAAATTTTCTATTCTTTGTCTTGCCAGGACGATACACTATGATTCTGATGCTATTGCTTAGGGAAATGTACACAGTCACTGAATCAATCAATAAATCAATCTCACATGTTGAATTCTCTCGTCGAATGAAGAACATCTTATAACTTAATAAAAGGCAAAATTAGTATCATAATCTTCGACACTCGAATCAATCGCTTCAATTCCTTGTCTTCCCATTTGACAACTCAATTGAAGCGTATGCAATTTTAGGATCGAAATGAAATTAAAAATTCAGTTTCTTTTGTAAATATCAACATAAAATTTTTGTTTTGACTTTAAATTTTCAAGCGTTATTTTCGTTAGGTTGGCGATTAAACTTTGTGTATTTGTCAATTTTGAATTAATGTATGAAAAATTCGCATTGGTTTGGAAAAAAAAATTGTTCTCATATCAAACAGTCGATTTCCGGTTCATCATCAGAACATCGCGATTGTCGACATGTGCATTTATTCATTCATATTGTGCAGCATACGCTTTTTGTAGCGCCATTAGTTGTGATCACGAATATGATTTATCAAAAAAGGGGATGTAGTAAAATTTGGTTTTTTATCGTTAGACTTCAATACAATTAGCTGTATAAAATTCGGAAATAATGCAAAATCGAATACATTCAATAGAGTAAAATGTCGGTTGCCATGGATTTACTGACTCTGATCAGTATTTGTTCGTGAATTATTTTCACGAATTATTTTAAAAATAGTATAAAAATTAGCCCATGTATTGATAAGTGGCGCAAACGGGTTCATTTTGACTCATAATCGGATTCATGGAAATTCGTTGTAAATGACATGTTCGACACATCAAGTGACCTTCAAATGGATAACACTTCGATTCCGGCTCGTCAGTTAGCTGCATACCACAATCCTCACACACATAACAGTCAACGTGGAAATCTTTGTCCATTGACACCACACGAACCGTTTCCTCAGTACCTTCAACTGGTGTTATTCCTGCGGAAGAAGGAGAAAAAAATCATCATTATCTTTGTAAATTTTGTCGACAATTGGAAAAACAACTTGTTGAGCTTCATACCTTTGCCACAGCTGGCACATTTCGGTGCAAACATGCTATGATAGTCGTTCACACAATATATCTTATTGTCCACATCAACAGTAAAGGGAACGCCATCCAGGCATTCGTTACACACACAGCAGCGGAAGCAACCAGGATGATATGATTTACCCATCGCTTGCAGAATCTGTTTGCCAAAAATGGAAGCATTTGATAAAGTTGAAGTGATAAAAGAGCATAAATGCTCCCAACTTAACCTAAAATCTTTGGATGGTTATAATTATTTCAATCCAATGTCCACTCACCATTTCCATGATCAAATGTCCACAAATGGCACACTTCTCTGCTGTTTGTTGAAAACCGGAGTACTGTGAATTGGATCAAAGATATTGCTTATTAAAATCAGGTTATTCGATTGAACCGTTCATATTTTTGGAAATCAACTCCGAAAATTTTGATTTGCTTTCCAAGCATGGGTGTTGAATGTCATTCAACGCCACTAAGCTGTAGACATCTCTCTCCGGCTATACGGTAAACAACAGAACCAACACTGAACATGAAAATGACATGTTCAATTGTGTTTGTTTCGTTAGTTTCAACTGCGCCGCTACGAGAGGTCACTTTTGTCGTTTCTTTTTGTTATTTTACATATAAAATCAATGGTATTAGACGAGGATGTTTCCAAGTTTATTCGAAATAATGAGTGAAAAATATCGCTTCATCTCACCATGTAATCCTCTTCGCAATAAACGCGACCGTGTACATTGTAAAATGCTTTTCCTCTCAGTGCTCGACCGCACGAGCAACAAATGAAGCAATTTGTGTGGTATAAATTGCCCATTGCTTGACAGGCCGCTCCAGCGCCGGTCACTTTTTCGCCGCAAGTATGACAAATGCCAAAGTATTCGCCTTGCTCTTCGTTGCGTTCCAATTCCTCTTCCAATTGCCTAGTGAGTTCCTCAATTTTTCGCTCGGCCTCCGTTTTGCCGGCTGGTCGGGGTGTCACGTTGTACGGCAATAATGGTTTCGCCGGAAGACCTTTTTCTACAACATAAACAACACCATTGAAAATACCTTGAATAGAGTGTTCTTTAATTTCGACTTACGTTTATTGGAATTGCTGCTAAGTTGTGATGGCGTTGGCGAAATGGATGTGGCCTTTTCGGCTTCAACTGGATTCAACTGCGATCTGTTGCTGGCATTTAATTGCTCTTGTTGCAAAGTTTGTAGATTTTTACTAGTTAATTGCATGGCGGTCGGGTTGATTGCCGTCGAGTTTATTGGAGAGGCTCGATGCGCGGTTGGAACTGCACTTAACGAAGCCAATTTTGACACCGACTGTGGCGTAGAACGTGTCATGCAAACATAGTCAGAGCCATTTAGATCTTCGATGTAGTTCGGATTCATTGATACATTCATTGTCCCAGGGAATGGTGGAAGTGGCTCTTGGTTTTGCTATGGAAATTAATGAAATATTCAATGTAGTTGAATTCAAACAACGTGGGATAATCGCACTGCGATTGATACACAAATCAGATAGTCAACCCTACCAATTTTGCTAAATACGAAGGATGTTTCTGATGTTCAAATGAGCTGGAAATCGATTGATTCGCAATATTGGCACGTGGATTGGAATATTGTAATTTAACCGCGCCAACCGTATCAACGTTGCCATAGGTTTTTATCGGTGATGCGACATGCGTGGGAGACTGTGGCTGTCTAGCATAGCTTGGTGGCAATATTGACTGCGGCTGAACATACGTTCCTGATGTATCTCCGCTGATTTGTGCGTACATCGACTGTTTCGGCTTTGCCGGTAGTGGAGGTGGAATATTGGATTTAGCCCGTGGTGCAGCTGTAAGAAGATCACATTAATTTGCTTTATGAAAATGAAATCTGTCAATCGAAACTTACTGGAAACATTGCCCAAATTTTCATAAATGTGCGACGGATCACTGTCGTCAGGCTGCGGCGTGTGAGTGAAACGGTTCAATGAGCTGCCATTCGATTGGATTTTATTTCCGATGACTTCATAGGTGCCGCAGCCGATGCTTGGCTTACTCATACTCGACACATAGTGGCTATAAGCCGGCGGAGGTGGCGGTAATGGCTGTTGTGTCACCGGAATCGCCGGATTGTAATAGTCAATATTCTCATACACTGATTGCTGTGAAATCGAATGCGTTGGACTTGCGTTATTACGATAAACCGTCGGTCCTTTAGCCACATTCACTTGATGTTTGGGCGATTGTAATTTTGGCCCTGTCAATTTCGATGCGGTAATAAATTTATTCTGATCATATAGCTTGTAGTCATCGTCCGATGGGGGCATTCGAATTGCATTGGCAACCGGTGCTTTGTTATTCAAACCGATTTCATTTTCAGCGGCACCATTCAATGAACTGGTACGTCGATGTGACACTGGCAATACATTATTCGCGGTATCATCATTTAATCGCAAATTTTGCATTCGAAGCAAGTAATTTGGATCGGATAGTGACTGTGAGTGATGCGATGCCATTTTATTGATTCACGTGTGAAAATACAATGTGCAATATTATTCTTTTTTTACAAATACATAAATTTTTAAAACGATTCTTCACTTTAGGTCCTTTTTTTCAAATAATTACTTGATTCAAACAAAATATTACATCATTTTCGGAAATTTTATACAAAAACAACTAAACAATTTTAGCTCGAAGGCATTTTATAAACAATTGCACATTCATCGAAATTTCAAAGGAATTTTTACAGGAAAAAAAATATACAACACAAAATATTCTTGAATGTTTCAATAAATGTTCCATACAGTTCACAGGAATGAAAAAAACGTGCACGAAAATCGATTTATCACAGATTAGGAATGTTCATCAGGATATATACATAACATAGGACACCACAAAGAATCACCAAGACGTTCTTTTTTATCTGTCTTTTTTTTTACACAATTAACACAACCTTTTCAAAGAACTAAACATTGTTTTTGTTTCGTCGTGGTGAATATGCTTAAAAGCATACTCTTATTGTTGGCAATCTATTTTGTTGGGAATGAAATTCTAAGCGAAAAAAAAAATTGTTTGTGATTTTCAGTGATTGTGACTTAACGTAATAATGACAATTGGTGGTCAGCATTCTTTTCTCTATTGGCATCTTATAACTTTCTTGTGTTGTTGCTGTACTCTTCTTCTTCTTTTTCTTCGTTCGCTGTTGTTCGCTGCACGACAGAGCACCATACGAAAGAGACAAACAGAGTGGCATTCGCCTATACCAACCGTTCTGACATTTACGTTTCTATGCACATAATGGTCCGTTCACGTTCAATGCATTGGGGTTCATTGTTGTTTGCATTTATTTTGTGTTTGAAATTCAAACAAGCCTTAACTGATGCATTTTTTGTGGTATTTTGTAATTTAGATTCTTATCTTAGGTAAAAAAATGCATTTTTCCTTTAAATTTGTTTCAACATGAAAAAAATGAATCGAAGAAATTCAAGCGTTCATCATATGAATTATGATTGATGATCTGTTTGTGTTGCTAATGGTAACGCTTGTTTCTATAAACAGCTGAATGGTGCATTTTTCTCATGCACTTTACATGCTTTTGTTTTCATAGTGTGTTAAAGGCTCGTTGGTTTCAGTTCATTTGAATTGATGGGATTGGATCATATTTAAGAATCATTAAGGATGGAGATTGAATTAGACGAAGATATGGTACAAGTCGATGGCTGTGAATCGCCTACGAACGATTTCAACAGTATCATTGGACACATTGAGGATATTGTGATTAGCGACAAATTTCAAGTAAAAACCTATTGACCTTGACCAATTATAGAGAAAACTATGGACATAAACTCATTTTATGAATAAACAATTGTTATTGAAATGTAATTTTATTTTCAAAGGAGGTCCAAACGGAATTCTTGGAGAAAAATTGCATGCTATTCACAAATGAAGAGGAAAATAAGATTTACTACATGGATATCTTCAATCAATACACAAAATTAATTGAAGAGTTTATTTTGGACAGTTTAAATAACATTGCACCTGACATTGATATGGACTCATTTCTGTCTGAGCTGAGGTAAGCCATCACAATTTGTTTGAAAATCGATTAAAATTGATCTTTTGCCCGCATTTTTTGTTCAAAAATATTTTCTGTTTTGAAATGTGTAATGAAAAACAAAATTCTATTAAAACCTAATTCTTTGGACTTCATTAGAACAACAGCGACTCAGTTCGATGGTGAAATCTACGAATTTTTATTTTCATTGAGTGATTTCCAAACGTTCAAATCGTTGATGTTGGACTTTAAAGAGTACAAATTGAATCGGAGTAATTTTTCAGCACTCGATGAATGCTTTAAAATCACGAAGCTCTGAACGACACGTCCCGATTTCGAAGCAATCAGCCATCAGATCGAACAGTATATTTTTTTAAGAATGAATATTCCCGCAAATCATGTCCAGTCTTCTTTATTTATCGAATAAAATGTGATTTATTTGCAATTGTCTTATTTTCTAAAACTATATATAATCGTCACTATAAAAAAAAGATATGCAGTTTTTCTGTGGATTGCAAAATAATGAGTAGACTACAATTAAAGTAGTATCACAAGATGCAGCTTTGCCCAAATTTGAGTTCAATATTGTTTCTTCTCTTCTTGGCTTAGCGTCGAGTATTGTGAGCTGATCTGACGCATAACATCGGCATGTTTGACACCAGGCTTTTTAAAATCTTTGTATTTCTCTTTGACATATTTGGCAAATCCGCTGGCCTCACGAACCGGTTCCATGACCATTTGACCGTTCTTCTTTTTGTTCAGGAAAATACTAATCGATCCATGGCAATAACTGCAACGGATATTCTCGACCTTTTTGGATTTCGAATGTGAGTATGATCTGTGGAACGACAAAGGAGATTAATGAATATAAATGAATGCTCAGAAAAACCGGCACACTGGTAGGTACAATTTCATAATGCCCAAGTGCCTAACGACCATATCATTTCACTTAATATGATTGCTTGCTCATTGAAACGATAATACGTACTTGCTCTGGCACATATCACACTTGTAGGTGTACTTGTATTCGATATCGTAGTTATGGCACACCGATATTACTGGCAATTCGGGGAATACGTAATTGGCTTTTCGTGCCCATGATTTCCATCGCATTCCATGACCACGTTCGTTGTTGAAAATCCAAGTGGCCGCATGACACATCTCATGAATGAGCGTACACCGTAATCGATCCGCACTCGTTAGCACTTTTTCACTGAGCTCGATGCGATGATTCTTTCCGGCGACTTTGATTGCCCTGTGAAATGAACATAAGTACATAGAATGAGCGAAGCCGAAATCTATTGCTAGAGTTTATGAATGGCCAAAACTGCCATTCTTGGCAAATTTCTAGTCCAATTTACTTGGATCGTCCATGGAAACGGCCAGCTGTCGTCGTCAGTTTTTTGTTCCATATAATATCCACATCCAATTTGCTTTCGAATACTTTCTCATTATACATTTTATACAAAATGTTCGTCAATTCTTCTTTGTTCGATTTGAAATTTTCACGATACTTCTTAGCATCTGGGTGGCATAGCATCATCGACGCTTGAACTGTCAATATAACGATAAAATTGCATTTTTTTTTAAAATTAAAATCACAACAATTGGTCATCAGTTTTTAAATACAAACCATCCAATGATTTGAGAAATCCATAAGTCTCGAATGTTCGCGGTGGGCTATCAAGTTTTGAACGAGCGCTGCCTGAAATTCAAACAAACCATTCCCAAATCAAACATTTTCTTTGTTAAAAACCGAAAGAATAGTTGAATACAATAACAAATTGGCAAAGAGGAGAGTTTACCGAATGGAGTTTTTCGTTCGGCCAAAATTTTCGATGTAATTGGTGTTTTGAGATCATCTTTTCGAAAATCAATCTTTGAGTTTGGCGTTTTGCTTTGTGATGGCGAGCCAAACTTTTTCGAATCAAAGAGTTTGTGTGTAAATCGTGGTATCTCAATGTCTAAGCTAGGCTCTTCGGTGGGTTTCTTTTTCACACTTTTCGGTTCAGTATCAAAGACTGTTTCCTCTTCAATGTCGTCATAATTGTGGGTGAATAATTTACGTCCCGTTTTTTTCTTCGGTTTTCTGTGAAGTGGGGAAAAAATGAAAAAAAATCGTTAAAAAACCATAACATCGATGCATTGAATCTTCAATAGAAAATGATCTATGCAAATTGACGCTAATCAAAAAATGTCATGCTGAAAGTTCGATTCTCAAACAAATCCAATGAGAACTTCTTAACAACATACTCATCATTCAGATCTGACTCGAAGAATTTTCGTGTTATATTTGCCAAATCATCTTCCGAAACGTTTGCATGGAAGTTTTCATCAACTTGAACGATTTCTTCTGACGAAAGATCCAAGAAAATCAGATCGTTGGTCTTCTTAGCTGGTCGTTTTGTCGCCGATGCCGCATTTTTACGCACGCTCTTTGGCTTTTCCTTCGATTTTTCTCTCTCTATCTCTAAGTCGCTATCGTCATCCGTAAGGAGATCAGAGTCTGAGTAGCTGCTGTCATTATCAGACCAATCGGAATCATTTTCTTTGTCGCTGTCGGAATCGAAAATCGGCTTGCGTGGCCAAGCATTTCGACGTGGTCGAGTCGTTATGATCGACGAATCATTAGCCACCGGAGTGTTGACAACCTTTTTCTTGCCTGATTTCGGTGATGGTTTCTTTTTCGTGAGCACAGATGGCGATGGCTCATATTCAGCTTTCTTCACACTGGAAGATGGTTTGATCTTCGATCGTGGTGTGTTTACTTTTGGCTTTGCCACTCTTTCGGGCGATTTAATTTGTTTGACCCGTTCCGGTGTTTCAATGATACTGATTTCAGCATGGTCATCCAATCGGGTCGAGTTTAGATTGGTTTTAATCTTTTGTTTAACTGAAAATATGCATACAAAATAATGTAATTCTTGAAAAAATCGCTTAAAGATTCATTGTTCCACTTACAAAGATCGAATCCCTTGCTATAACGGTTGTTAAGCATCGAAGGAGTTGTGTTGACAGCCGCTCTGTCTACTGGCTTCCCTTTTACGGCTGAATAGCTTCTAATCACATCTGGCGTCTTCCATGCATCACCGTAAACTTTGTGCTGTAAAGAACAAAAACGAAAAATGTGAAAAAGTTCCTTTTGAATACCACACCCAATCCCCGTACTTACCAGTAGCTTCTGATCACGAGGGCTGATCGGAATGTTTTTATCAAACTGAAATCCGTCATTACGGTCGGAATTTTCCGATGTTATTGATCGATCTGCGGACTGTGTGTCGACGTTTTCAGTTTCTTGATTCGTTTCGGGTTTCTTTTGTTTGGTCATACTTTTCGGTGGTACAAATTCGAATTGTTTGATTCTGCTGGCCGCTGATGGAGTATGGTTTGGCGTATCAATGGCATCGGTTTTAGTATTCTTTGCCGGTGTTTTTACATTCTTTGAATCCTTTTTAGGAGTTTTGGAGCTGCTACCTTTCGAAGCAACACCTTCAGACTGATTTGAATTAGCACTTGAATAGCCATCTGAACTGCGCTGGCAATCCTCACTCGACTGAATGGCCGCCGATTTGCGTGGTGGTTTATTATCTTCACTGGACTCTTCGGATGAGTCTTCGACAATTTGAATGTTGATATTGATCTTGGCCGCAATACTCAATTGGCCATTGCTTGAGTTCACTCTGATCGAGCTGCCAGGTGTTTTGAGGATCACATTGCTCGATGTTCGTTTAATGTGATCGGAATCGATGCCACCATTTTTGATGATTGGCGACGAACGAGATGCTGTTAAACGGACACCACTTTGTGAACGAATCACTTGGCGTGGCTGATCACTTGTGCTTTTGATCACCGGAATGTCAACGATAATATTGTTATCCGATAATTCGGGTTTGTCATGTTCGACATCGTTGAGAATTGGCTGCTCTTTTGGCTCATCAGCTGCTTTGTATGGCTCACCGTCACCATCAATGCTTGGCTCAATGACCGATTTATCGTCGATGCTTTCTTCATCAGTCGTTTCTGGTACATAAATATCTTCTTTCATTGACTTCGAAGTGTGACTGGAATTGAATGAATTCTCAGACGGCTCAATGAATGGTGCGTTATCAAAGAAATTGTTCACTTTTTGCATGGCTGAGCTGTCAATTGATGACAAATTATACATGGCACCATCGTTGCTGCTGGGAAAACTTGGTTTCAATGGTGGCTCTTGAGAAATGTTCCGTTTTCGCGGTTCACTCTCAGTGTCAGCCTCTTCCGTATCGGAATCGGACAAAATGATAACAACATCTGATTCATTTTTCTCTTCAGTTTGTTTGGATGAAATCGGTTCTTGATCTGTTGTATCATTGCTGCTCAACGTTTGAACGGAACACGACAACGCACTCTTCTCATTAGCGTTGTCACTTTTCTCTTGTGTTCCATCGTGCACATCATTGTGATGTAAATCGAGTTGATCGAATTGGCGTGACATATTCTGTACGTGTTCATCACTTTTCACAGTTGAATTACCTCGATCCGATGGTGATAGAAAACTTAGATTTTGCATTTGTGTATCGATGCGATCAATGTGTACCGCTGGATTTTGTGTGATTGGCTGTGAAATTTCTTTCAAACCATCCTCAATTTCCTTGCTATCAATTGAACTACCCACCGAATCAGTGTCATCGTCTGTCAAAATATCCAAGTGTGTTTCTTCTTTCGTTGATTCGTACAGCAAAATTTTTGGCTTCTGTGCACACGACACTTCATCACTTTCAATATCAACCGGCGGCTCGTTCAGCACTTTTGTCATTGTCGTTGTTGTTGTTGTGGTACAAGTCACTGTTTGTGTTGCATGTATGTTGCTCTCCTTTTTTGCATTAATCGATTCAACTGTCATGAATTTCGTTGTAGCCAATGTCAATTTGCTGAATTCTATCGAGAAAACAAAACAATTCCAATAATTTAGAGAATTAGTGGATTTTCTTTAATTTTAACAACAACAAATTACGTTTCTTACTTGGCTTGATAGCGTTTGTTGGTATTGGCTGTGGGTTCACACTCTGCACGAATTTAAACCGAGAATTCATATTTTTTTTCTTTAGCTTTAATTAACCATAAATGTTGAATCGTTAAATATTCTCTTCAATCACTGTCATATAAAAAAGAAGACTTCACTTTTTTTATCATTTACAAATGAAAAATTCACACAATGTTTGCAATCACAACGCCAGTCGACAGTGTAGAAAGAGAAAATGTGTGACAGCCGTTGTTTTTCTTTTTTGAATCTAAGATGCGAGAGCGTCAGTGCTGCCAACACAGCGAATTGATATCGATGTGTTGTATTGCCACAGCAAATTTGCTTGCTTTGGTTGAACGCGCGAAAACAATTCGCCCTTTTGTAGATGTCAACACATAAGTTCATGTACCAGATCATACATTCACTCTATGAAGAAAAAAACGTATTTCCCTATCCGCTTTGACCATCACAAAAAAAAACGTTTATTTGAAAAAAATTGTTTAGTTGAAAAAAAAAAATTATCAAAAAAAAGTTTTGCAATAAAAGAGCGATTTGACAAAAAAATCAAAATAGTACGAATGTCCGTTTACAATGAACATTGATTCCGTAAGATTCTTTCTCACAAAAGCCGTTTGCATTCATACCATTGATTCTCTTTCGGATTAACAGGAACTGATCAACAGTGTGGCATTTGCGAGCCTTACAACCAATTTCACTGACCAATCGAAAAGTACTGTCTATGTTTACCCAATGGACTCCAATGCACACAATGAGACTGGAGACGAAAATACAGTACGTGAAAACGATGAAACTTCCGAACAAAATCGGGTGAAAATTTAATGAAAATCTATTCCACAGACAATAAGTGCTGAACCTGCATCAAAACGAAAGAACGAAAGTCTAGACGAAATTCATGAGGTTTCCGAACCAAAAAGACACAGACAAGAAACGCCATCAGTTGAATTGATTGATCCGAACGTAGTGAGTGGTTGCTGAAATGGAAATTGCAACGAATTCGAATGATAATGATCATTAAATTTGATTTTTCTTAGGCTCAATTTGACACAATGGAGCATGATGTTGGTATGATTGTCCAATCAGTCAGCCCAATTGATGAGTGGAAGGTGAAAAATTATGAACTTCTTAGTGAACACCAATTCACAACAGATCGTGAACAAAATGTTGACCGTATCAAATTCATATTGCAAACAATGGACAACAAAAGCGTTGAAGTATGTGTGTCGAGAAATATGATCCTTCGGATCAATTTGGACAATCGCCTCTCGTATCAATCGAGGTTTACTTGCGAGCTGGCATCAGCTGTATTGCAAGCGCTATTAAATCAGCTTCAAACAATGACAATGGCCGAGTTTCGATTTCACATGTCTCAGGCATTTAGTTCTGAGAATGTGAGTATTCTTTTGCAATGGAATTGAATAGACAGTTTATTATATAAAATATTTTCTCATTTTCGTAGAGGAAACTCGCAAAACCGGGTAGTACACGCCAAAAGCCAATATTCACCAACGATGCGAAATTGGAAAATGTTGAAGTCCTCATGAAAGCCAAATTCAATCTTTGCGAACAATTGGAAGCAGAATTCAATTCAATTGTCCATACCAAGGTGAAGGATGATTGTATTCATTTTATATGGGAGCCAAAAGAAGTGTCCAAACGAGTTGTTATCACGAAGAAAATTGTGATTCGAATAAGCTTACCGGTATTCAATTTGGAATACCAAATTAAGCTGACAGACAAAATTTCGCCAACTGATTTGCGAAACTTGTTAAAGTTCGTAGATCAAAGTGGAGAAGAAGAATGGCGCGATTTTAGTAAAAGTGCCAGTAGAGATAAAATAGTTCACAGTAAGAGTTTTTATGTATTTCCAAGTTCATTCATTTTTTAACAAATTTATTTAGATACACGTGAAGAATTGTGCGCAGTAAAATCGTACATTTTCAATCTGTTTGTATGAAGTGATGGAAAACCAAATTCAGAAATATTTGTGTTGATTGAGTAATTGAATGGAAAAAGCATGAAATCTAATATCAAATGGTCTGAAACAAATAGAGTCATAGATGTATGATTGATAGAGACATTGAATATAGAGATCGCGTTGGAATATTGAATATTTTCGATTCAAAATCAATGGTTATTCATTGTTTATACTGAAAGAAAGTACATAAAAACAAGATCTTCGAAAATGAACGGTTTTACTAGTGTCACGGATTTTATTTGCAATTTGATTAACATTCTAGCAAGATGAAATGGGTCACTTTATTAGTATCAGATCTTTTTCAGCAGCGTTTCATCAAAACTTTGAACAGATTGAATGTATGTTTACATTGAAAATATTCACTGTTTCTTCTTATTTTTTGAATTAGGCGTTGAAAACAACATTGTCGTTGATTTGTGTAAAAGTTCTGAGGAAAGAGCCGAAAATCAGCCCGGAAATTTGCCATCAAATGAACCGTAAGTATAGAATATGTTAAAGCATGCAAAACATCAATGATTTTTCATTTGGATAAATCTTTCAGAGAGCCTTTTTATGTGAGATGCCGGCGAGAAATGACAGTTGCCAATCCACAATGGAAGAACAATGTCAAAGAACACAGGTAAGTTGGTCATACATCAGCAAATGTATAATTGGGACAATAGCGATTTGTTCTTTTTTTCAGACCAAATGACCAGAGTAAAATGCCGGAACTCACTCAAAGTATGCTGAAAGAAACGTTGGACAAAATGTGGTCTGAAATGGAAAAGTATGTTTCGACCGACGATGAACTAGTACGTTCGCTTAGATTTCCTTCAATCAATTATGATGTCATGAACGAATTGCGATGGTGGACCAAGGGATCATCAGCATTTTTGGGTGATAAAATCATCAACGCGTACCTCAAATTGATATGTGAACGCAGTAGCAAAGGCAATGGATTGCCAAAGGTTTATGCAATGGACACCTACTTCCTGCCAGAGCTTCACAGAGATGGCAAATACAACTATGACCACGTTCGTGAGTCAACAAGCGATACGGATATCTTCACTTGTGATATAATACTGGTCCCTGTTCATATTTCTGGAGGAACTGACGGCGGTCATTGGTGCATGGCAATCATTGACATGAGATATAGAACCATCAAATACTACAACTCGATTGGTGCACCGAACGATGCAGTTCTAACCAGCTTGCTCCAATATTTGAAAGATGAATATCGCGACAAGAAAAGAGAAGAGTTCGATATGAGCGGTTGGCAAAAGGAAAATGTGCTGGGTTTAAATATCCCACAGCAAGATAACGGATATGACTGTGGCGTGTTTAGTTGCATGTATGCAGAATTTATAACACGCAATCAATCACTCAACCGTGATTCATTTTCACAAAATGACATGATCTACTTTCGAAAGAAGATGACATATGAACTTTGTATGACACAAGAACTGCTAGCTTACTAGCGAATTTTTTAAAACTTTAAGAAGAAAAAAGTATAAAGAACCAGAAGTTTATTAAGACAATGTGCGTATAAGTTAACAGCTGAAAAAAACGACGATGATAGCAGAATCCAAAAATTGTATATGATTGCTAACTTACACTCTTAAGTGATGTATTACACTTGTTTATTTATTATTATTATTTTATTAGGTAATTTATTTTTTTTATTGTAAATTTCTGTGATTGCCATGCCTGCCCGAATAAAATAAGCAGTTTTTAGAATCATGTTCTTGTGAAAATATTTGCAAATTGTTTTCTTTCCTGAATTTTTTTTTTCTTCGCAGTGAACAATTTCGTTTCAAATTAATCGGTTGAATGCCGCAGAATATTTACGATTAATGACACTGTATCATGACTTATGCAGTCAAACCATTTTACTTTGTTCGTACATGGAAATATTTTTCGGATCAGTCCAAATTTCAGATGTATTCGAAATTCTGAGAATATTATTCCCAAAATCAACCTTTCAATTTAATATTAAGTTTTGTTTTGCGATGACAATCCAAATTTCTTCGAATCAAATAGTTTGTATTGGACTCAAAAATTTCCATTTTTTTGTTCATTTGCATTTGAGAGAAATTCGAGCATGCGACCCCCCTGCAATCGCTAAATGACCTTTGGTGTTGTTTGGTTTACGCCAAAAAGTGCACTTTTCTCTAGGTCAATGATTTTTTTTCACAACGGGTGAAATAACATTCAAGTGATGATGCAGAGTGCTTTATTGTAGCCAACAATGGAATGAGCATTGTCATTATGTAGAGTGAAAAGAATGATAACGTTGAACGTAATTTCATTCAAAATTTTGTGTGATGCTGAGGTCGGCAAAGTTGGGCAGGAAATCATCACAACACATATGTGATTAAAGTTGTAGCACAAAGGCGGATCGCCGTATTGTGATAACTGACCAGTGACCACAAATGAATAAAATTTTGTTTTGTACACAAATATCACCATAGCGAGGTTGATATTATTGACACGTGACATATTTATTTTCATTTATGTCGAAAATATGTCAGTGGATTTGGTTTTTTTTTTACGTCGCACTGTCTGACATTTTCGTGTACGTATGAATGTCGTTTAATCAGCAGTACTTATTATTGAATTAATGCGTTATGTTTAACAGCCAAATTGAACCGCCTAATCCTATTGGGCTGATTAATGGTACGTGTTTTATGGATTTATTCTATTTATGCTATATGAAGCCATTTCGAAGATCCCGTTTAATTGAATCAATTATGTGAGATATGGCCCATACAACGGTCAATTAAAGTCAACTTTGGAACATATCGCAATCTGTCCTTCAATTAAAATCAACGGAAGCTGCCCGATAAAAAAAATGTACATCTACACAGTAACAGCGATAAAATGCGTCAAAATTTATTAAATAACGACTTGTTATTCTCCTGATGATACTTACGAAAAAATTTATCAAGTCATTCAAGTGTATGTTTGTGTAAACTTTCGTTACAAAATGCTGGAATAAGTGGTTCGTTGGCGCGCGTTCGAGTATAAAAGAACAGCGTGTCGTGGTTGTCGAAGTTTTGATTCAACAGCAATCGTAGCGTTCATTTCAGAATAAATAAACTTTGTGTTAACATGAAATTCACACTTCTCTTCGCAATCGTGATTTTGAGCTTCTGCTCAATGGCCAGTGCCGCCAGCAAAGAAGAACCGAAGACTCGCGTTGAACGGGTATTAATCCACTTTTTTTTTTGAAAATTGCTTTGTGTTCATAAAACGTTCGAAATCAGCTGATCCGTGTGTGGAAATTATCCATTTTTTGTGATTTCTTTTTCTGTTTGAATAATTCTTTTGGGGCGAATTTTCAAACAACTTGAAAAATTGTTCGATGTGAAATGTGATATTAAAAAAAAAACGATTTATTTTGTTTTCAAAGTCTTGCATGACATTTTTCTCACATAAAGTGTGAACAATTTGTAGATTATTTTCATCACATGCCTAAATTGTCCTGACTCACTGGTTGTTAATTTTCGAATTTCCTACATTTTTATTTGTTGAAATATCTTCCATTAGCAATTTTAGCATTGTCACCACGTCACAATTAATGTTTTGCCTCAAAAATGTCGCATTTCACATGAATTTTCTTTGAAGTTGCTTAAGATTCTAGCACAGTTACGAGAAATAAATCATAATTTTTTGTCGTTGATAAAAGAAAACCTGTTCCGCTTCCTCGGTTGGCTGATTTCTACACAAAACACTTCATGACTTTGCAGTTTTTTTTTATTGCGAAAATGTATTTAATACAAGTTTGATTTTAATCTGAGTTTAATTCTCCCATTATGTATATCTAGGGTATATTGGACTCGGTCATTCCTGAATGCAGCATATTCGATTGGTGCTATGGCAAATGCAGTTGGTTCGGATTGTGTGACGGCGATTGCAAATCTAAGTGCGCTATAAAATGTACGTGCCTTCCATAACGGCCACAATCAGCTTTCAACGCATTAAATTTATTTTATTTTATAATTATCCAAATCTGAATGCCTTTCGCGCATATTTTTGATTCAATAAACATGTAATGTACAAATCTGTTCATGGATTTTTTATTTGTTCTAAAACAACTTGCCAATCTCTATGTATCCCTGATAATAATTTAAATAGAGACATTACAGTCTTTATGTCTTGAAGATGAATGTGTCTTTCAAAAATCAATTGATTTCTCCGCCTATTTGAACTTTTGCTCTGAATATTTTGCCCTTGATCGAGATATTTTTTTTCTGGACAAGGTTTAGCGATACTGTTTCGTTGCTGAGTTTTCTTCTAAATTTTCTAGTAACTCTTTTGAAAAGAAAGTAAAGTTTTAAAGTACTAGCTACGGTAAGAGCAATGTTCAAAGGCATGCAAATGTCAAGAAACAGTGAATGCAACAGATTTATCTTCTTTAAGGAGTCTTTAAAAATAGATGGACCGAATGGTAATTGGAGCATTTCTAAATGTTAAGAAAAAAATCTTTTGGCATTTCATAGCGATGGAACTTATTCAATGTTGTACATGCCATTACATAGCGTCGAAGGACCACAAAACAAAATTGAGAAAAAGAAAAGAAAGTTAGTTATGCATAGAATATTCATGTGTATGTGTGTGTGTTTACTGAGAAACTATTTCCAGCAAGTGGTAAAGATCACATACTCTTCTGTTAGTTGCAACAAAATGACGACATCAAATAGATTTCAATATTTAGAACAAGTCGATCGTCAATTATAATTAATGAATAATAGCGCAATTTCATACAAATATCATTCATTTGACATGGATCAACTGGATGGATCTATTATTTTTAGTGCGGTGTTTGGTTCATTTGTAACATTTATGGGCGTTGGTTTGTTTACTGTAAAGTACTGAAAAGCATATAGAAATTACTCTGTATAATTTTCAATGAGTATCGACAATATTTCCAAAAGGAATGTGTTCCAATACCAAATAGAAATATGTAGATGATTCTAAATTCACTTGCATGTAATTTAAACATTCCAATTTTTCGTTAGAAATTCAGAAAATAAAAACATTTGTTGTATACCTATAGGTTTCACCTTCATTCCTTCAATATTTTTCAAATTTAGATTTCTCACTCGTCGCTTGAAATCATGTTATTACATTGTTGCATTCTTAATAAAATAACTGTTGCGCACTCAATTACTTTGCTGTTCAACCTAGTGGATTTCGATTGGGCATCGAAGGAAATTTAGAAAAAGTACCATATTTTATAACTATTTGCTCAACGATTTTACATTCATCGATGAACACGGTGAATCATGTGAATTTGATTTGTTCCACTCTCTACATGGTTTGTATTAATTTGATGCAAATGGTCAATTTAAGATCTATTCTTGGCGTCATCTATTTTGTTTGTATGGCTGGCTTCATGGTGTCTTCGACATTTGACGTCCTAATTTTACGCGTAGAAGAATATTTTTTTAACGTTTTGTTTTTTGTTGCTTTCTTTAATTCAAGTGAGTAAATAAAATAACATGTGGTTTAAAATCCATAACTAAAAAAATTACACATAAATTGTAGGTGGTCTTTGCTTGGGACTATTGTCAACAGGGATTGAAACCATGATACAAAACACCTTGATCAAATGCGAAACCCTACCATACGCCGAGAATATTTTACTTGTAATTTGTTCTTATTTTTGGTCTATATTTATTGTATTTGCAATATACGATTTTATATATGGAGAAAAGATGCCTGGAGTTAGAATAGAGAAACCCTTTAGGCTATTCTGGGGCCTTGTGTTTCGCTCTTACACACAGTAAACACGATGGTTCTAACTTTTAGAACCGCAATATGAAATTTGGCACTAAAATCCATTTAAGTACCATTTGTACTAGAAAAAGTTCAAAAATTATTAAATCAAAAATCAAAGCTTCATGTATTTATTATAGAACTTTTGAACTTTTTCTAGAGCAAATGGTACCAAAACAAAGTCAAGTGTCAAATCTCAACATTGCTAGAATCATTGTGTTTACTGTACAATATAACATTTTCAGTCGGTACCAAAATATTTAAATTTTCAACAATTTTATTAGATCTTTAAGTCATTTTTATTCTCTCTCAACAGCGCATGATTTGTCTTGAAACGAAGTATGCATGATATGTTCGGATGTCTGGGGAGAATACATTACCAATCTCGTCATGGATGATCAACGACTTGAATTAAATATTTGTAACTAATCAATTACAAAGACAATGTGAAAGTATGAAACGGCTATAAGGTCGAATCGAAAGACCTGTTTGCTCTTCTCAATGTAATGAATTCGAATGTATTTTTCGCACCTCTGTCAGAGGTGTCGGTTTTTCTTCAAGTTTTCTTTTGAAACGTGCTTTTCCACCGCACTTCCTTGTGTGGTGAAAACTCTTAATGAAAAAAAAAATGACTAGCTACTAAGTCATTTTGGATAATCAAAAGTAATCAATTAAGCTGAGGTGTTTGTGTCAGGTAACAAAAAAGGACTTGACGCACGTGAAATGAAGCACCTTTACCAAAATCGATACGGTTTTATTTGATCTAATACTGCACGACGAATTATATGTACATTCAAGCATATCAAGCTTTAAGCATAAAGCATTATTTGTCGGTTAATCGAACCACATCTACGACACTTTCTACGGTGGATTCAGATAGAGAAGGAAATTAAAAAGAATAGCTATTTATTCTAGAGCTAGATTCTTTATATCATCGATACAAACCACAGGAATATCCGTTCTTTTTCACTGAATTTGTGGTTGATGAATTCAGTGTAAAATAAATCGGTTGCATTCTGAAGCAAAACGCAAAATACTTTCGATGGGCGGCGTTGGTATCGCTGTCTCATTTTGACTTTTAAAACTATTGTTTTCACATGTCAAATTTCGATTGTATACAAAACAAGCTGAGCAGAGCAAACAAAAATTTTCAAATTCAATTCAAATCAATTGTCGCAAGGCCGTATATTTTATAAGTGTGTAAAATGAGAAATTGTTTTGTGCCGCATTGTGATGCATTTTGCAAGAAAAATGGAGTTTTAAAACGGATGATGTTCTCTGCGCCAAAAGTACTATTTCCATTCACTTCGCTTTCATTTGTTGCTGGCCAAAAATAATCGGTTGTTCCTTTTTTCAATTAGGACAATTTCGAGAGCTGGAAGAAGAAATTGTTCAACAAACGGGAATTTCGTGAAACGGACCGTGTGTGCGAGCGTCATTTTGATCGAACACAAATTCTAACACATTGGGAGCACATCATCGATGGCAAAGTGTGTCAATTGGAACGGGAAAAGCCGAAAATTAAGTCGAATGCAGTGCCGTATTTGAACCTACCCGATACGTTTTATTTGGCGACAACGGCGAAAAAGCGTGAAGCCAAAGTGAAGCCAGAACCGAGAAAACGCAAACAAAACCACACAAATCCGGGCAACAACGAAAAGGTAGCGATATTTTGGGAAGGGTTTTAATATGGTCTTTGACTATTTGATGTTAATAATCTGTTTACTATAATCTTTCTATGTATGTGTAGGCAATCAAAGATGGAGCACAATGCGAAGAAAATAATGAATGGGACACAGTAGCGGTGTTCGATGTTGATACCACAGAAAGTCCAAAAGTGCAGAGAATAAACGCGAAATCGCAGCCGAATGGGGTGAAGACCCAAGATGGCCTGAGTGATGCGGAAAAACGTCAAATATTTGACACCGTCTATGATGACATCTACGAAGTTGTGCTACCAAACACGCTGTGGGGCATTCACAGAGACCCAGAAGATCGTCAATACATCGCTTTCACAATGTTCGATGCCAGTGCGATGAACAGTGCGATTGCGGTAAAAATTACGGACACATTCAGTGCAAAAGTATTCGCAAATGGCGTAGAAAAGACAAGCGAAACGTTACCCGAACTCAGTGTGGAAGTGCTAACAAAGCTGGTTAATCAGCTAAACGAAAGTGCTGAAGGGGTAACCGATGCAAAGCCTTCCAAATAACACGAATGAAATATGTATATATCGTAAGCGTTGTATCAATCGATAGGAAATAAGACTTTTTCCAATGTCCATGTCGCTGCAAAATAAGGCTAAATAAAATTCATATCCAATAAGACGCAAAAAATAACCCGAGGTCGTTCCTTAATCTTTTCTAAAAAAAAGTTTTCATTTATTCACATATTTTAATTCGAAAGTTAACATAAATTTGCATTTTTTTTTATTAAAATAATTGGTGACGATAGAATTTTTGTTTGTTGTTTTATCTTGTTTTTTTTTTTAAATCATCAATATGTTACACTGTTTTTTCCATTTGTTGAATATTTGATACCAAAAAAAACAGCAAGTAGATATAACACTTAAACCGTAGACAAAATGTTGTTGTTGTTTTTTTTATTCGTATTTTTTGTTTGTTTTTGTTGTCGATTAACAAGTACATTTAGGAATAGAGTTCTCGATGAGAGCGAAATGATTTGTTGTTTTTGTTTGATTTTTTTTTCTATGTATGAAATGGTGTGTCATAATATCCGCTGCAACAAGTTAATTTAGCATTTGTCCGGTGCAAATTTCGAGCACCATTTTCATGCGGAAGTATTGCATGTGCTGTTGCGTGAAAACGATCGGTCGATTTCGGGTAACGAATTCGGCATACATGCAGCTAAACACACCGCAATCACTGCCATTCTCTTGCTGCGGAATATTTCGCACGTTTTCCAATTTCCAACCGGTCATATCGAATGCGACCTTTTTCTTGTCGAGACTTTCAGCCTTCAAGTAGTCCGCCAGTGCATTCAGGGCCGGATTGTTCGGTGCACCCATCGAATCGTAGTATTTAATGGTCTTATTCTTGATGTGTATGATTGCCATGCACCAGTGAATACCTTTGTGTACGGGCACCGGGATTATGTCATGTGCAAAAATGTCCACTTTCCGCGTCCATCGCCGAACACCACCATAACCATTTTCAAGCAAACGCTTCAGGAAGAACGTATTCATTCCATGAACCTTGGGCAGCTTCTCATTTTGTCGGCTACGTTCGCCCAACAACTCCATGTAGAAGTTGATCACTTCGTCATTCAGCCAGGTCAATGGCTCCCATTGCAGTGTTGAAATATCGTGGCCGGTGATGGAGAGATTGAACTTTGAAATTAGTACGGCTGACGGTGACACATTTCGGCTAACCCAATAGTATATACGTTTGATGTGCTTATCCGGATCTAATCGGGGAAAGTCGTTGGCCGGCTCTTCTTCTTCCTCCACTTCGTATACAATCGACGAGATTGTGATCTTGTTGAAGGACTCTTTCAACTTGTCTTCCGTGTCACGAGTCTTTCGTTCACACGCTTCATTTCTGCGAAATGAAGAATATTTTCATTTTATTATAGAAGTTTTAAACAATTTGGCTAAATCACAACAGATTTCGTTTTTTACAGAAGCAACATTTTATTCCACTTACTCTTCTTCTACTTGCTTCAATGAATCTCGACGACTCAAATGTTTCGATGAGTATTTTTCGTTTAAACTTTTCTCCCAATCATCTTTGAAGACATCCTTTGTTTCCAGTCGAGTTTTCAACGAATTTACTCGTTCCACATTTCTGAAATTGACAGTTTAGGGTTAACAAATTTGTAACAGAGATTCATTCGTATTCATTTTGTGTGAGAATCGTGTGTTTTTGTGACAGTCCACTGGTTTCTTTGAGAGTCCAATGTTTCCCATGAGAGAAGAGTCATAATGATTCAGTTGTTTGAAGGATACTCACGGGAGTGCTGAAGCTGAGCTAGACGTTTTGTTCCCTCGCACCTCAGGCTCTCCAGACAGATCGATAATTCCTTGCGCATCTAAGCCTATACCTAAAATCAAGCAGAAAAATTATCATCTTTAATGTGTCTCAACAGATGTGTTGTAAAAATAAATTGAAATGGTCACTCATATAGTCATTTATCTTGTGTAAATCAAAAGTAATTTTTCGCTAAATCGTGTGAGTCGAGCAAGAGCTCAACTTGAAAATTCTTGTTATTATTGATATGAAATTTGAATTGGGTCACCCAATTTGAGTGAAAAAAAATCCTGATTAAATTCAAAGTCTGAAAAGTGTTTAAAATGGGGCCGAAAAATTTAAAATTATTCAAAATCTATGAATTGGGTCAATTGCATTGACTGTTAGTCCTAAATATGTCAAAGTGCGCCTTATCCGAAATTTATCTCTTTTTCGACGAAAACTGGCTAATAATAATTAAATGCATATATCGATTATCCTGTCCATTCTACTAAATTAAATTTTAATTGAATCTTTGAATGAAAGCATTCACTTACTTGAATCATTAACAGCATTCTTTTTAGCTGAAGGAAATAGAAAATTGAGGATAAGAGGTATTACTGTTAAGTCGTTTCAATCGAAATGAAGACAGAAGAAAAGAAAATACGACTATAAAAATTCATGAAGCATTTGTTTGGTTTTCTGTGGTAGATATGAGTATACTTACATTTTTTCAACAAGCCAAAGCCAGGAATCAGTTTGTCCAACATGATTTGATAGCTTGAACGACTTAAATTTGATGGTGGCTTCACATGTCCGCTCTATCGAAAATAAACGTATCGTTTAGTATATTACAAACGGACATTTTCAAAATTGTCCGCTTTTACTTACGTTTGAGAAAATTGAATTGCCTTTGAGACTAACTGACTTGGTGCTGCTGTTGTTGAAATATGATCTGGAGTTGCCGAGAATGCGAGGTGTCGCCAGAAATTGTGAATTACTAAATGTAGGCTGTCGCTGATGCAGACTACCATACTTTGTCGTTGAAAACATTGACGAATGTTCGTGGCCATTAACCAGATTGCCGCTCGTTGAGTGCGACGCATTTGATCGGTTCACATTTTGGATGGGATAGAGTTCGGGGATATTTCTAAAGTTAGACAGCTCATTTGGTTCGCCGTATCGGCTGAAATGCGGATTCACTGTTTGTTGTGGCCTATTAACGAAACGATGTGGAGTGGCCGAAATTAAGCCCGGAATTCGTTTTGCTCCATTTGTCAACGGCGGTGGCATCGGCTGCTTGAAATCACTCCATTGTCCATCATTCTGGTAATTGTAATTTGTGTGCGAATCATTTTGATCATTGGTTCTGTTTCTGGCAAACGTTGGCGTTGGCGTCAAATAGCTCGAATTTGTGTTATTTGGCAAAAATGATTCTGTAACACATGAACCAAGAGAGAGAAAAAATCAATAAATAAAACGTTCACACTTTTTCGTTCGATTTTTTTTTCATCTTTCGAAAGAAAAATGTCTCACCAGATCGCCTCGTACGATTTCGTAATATATCCACTGAATCAAGGTGCAATCCACCTAAGAACGAACGAAAAAAACACACAAATCATTTTTTATGTTTTTCATGAAAATATGGAACATGAAAATTGAAGCACGCATTTGAGAGAGAGAAACAAAAATGGTTATACATTTACTCACTGTTCACATTATGAGGATCACCTTGATGATAATCACCATTTAATTCAGACATCCGAATTTTTTTAATATCATCAAATTCTTCAGCAAGCGATAGCCTAAACGAAAAATCCAAAATTTCAATCAAATGGAATTACATTATTCGGAGAGCAATTGGCCATTTATGTTGCAAGCGACGAGCAGAGAGAAAAAAAAATCTGTGTATTTTTCACTTTGACATTCGACGCAGAATACAGACTAAAGGATTTCAATGAAATTGTCAAAATAAACATTACTGTGCATGTATGTACGTGTTTTTCTATCGAATGAGGTTAGATACGTATGTATTGGCGCATAGAGCTTGTGCTCTCTGTGTGTTACACCTTTAGCGCGCTTCGGCATCTCTTGCGATCTCGAATGACAAGCACCAACCAAAAGCACAAAATGTTTAGATTGAAGTTTCACAAATAAACATCATCAAATTTAATGAACTAGCACCATTGTTTTATTCTGAAATTTCTCTGGGATTGAATCGAAGGAAATTCCAATGAACATTTCTTCGTACTTACTTTCGTTTCTGTGTCTTTTTTCCGCTTAAAACTTCTCGAATCCGGGACAGCACATCCATTATTGTAGCAATAAATCGGTATGTTTCGTGGTCGTATTAACAAAATGGGACGCAAAATGGAAATTTACACGTTTCGATTCATTTGGAAATGGTAAATTTTTCATGAAATTAAAAATATCAGCGCAAAATACACTTGCACAAAGTGGGATTTCTTTTTCTTGTCTACTTGTGTGTGTGGCTTGATGCGCCACCACTAAATCCAATTTACAGACAATTTTCCAAATGTTCGACACGGTTTTATCTACGGCATCAATGCGAAAATGATATTTTCGTCGTTTTTGCAGCAAAACTTTGTCCGAACAAACGATTGTGAATGCGATAAATAGCGACGGAAATTTTGTTGGTTGTGATCTAGTAACTTTGTGCGGCAAATGAATGGCGACTTTTTCGCATTGTCTTTGGATATTGTGTGTACGGTGTTTAGGTTGGCAACCATGTACACTGTCGACACTGTGACAAAATGGATACGTTCAATTGTGTATCAACAACAAAACAATTTTTACGAATTGAAAGACACAAAATAATTTCCAATTTGGCTGTTTGTTCCAAACGGCTGTTTGAAATTATTTTCTCTAATTTTTGCTGACAAATAAATTGAATAACAAAAAAAATTGCAACTTTTTGAATATTTATTTGCGATAAATTGTATATTTCTATTCGCTCGAACACGACACCTACCGCATGCTCGCCAGAACGATTTTGTTGACAGTGTCAGTCGACAGTGTTGTATGTTTGACAGCTGAATTAATTATTATAGCAGCCAAACCAAAAAAAAAAGTTCATTTCATTTACAGCGACGCGTGTAAAATAGAAGAGACTTTTTCTCAAACGCCTTTTTTATCATTCCAATTATACAACCACAAACTATTCTCAATCGTTCGAATAGAAACGGTGAAATTGATATCGAATAATTTGTAAGCCGGTACGAAGTTCCTTGGATGATTCATCGAACGATAATTAGTGTGTATCGATATTTCTCATTTGAAACGACTGAAGTGTTCCAATAAGAACTTTGTTCGGACAACAAAACCCGTACCCCACATACTCAATCAATAAAATTTAGTAGAAAATATCAAATTTTATAGGCAAATTCTAAAATAGCAATTCGAGATTAGATATGAGCTCCAGTACTGTACCTGTATCCATTTCATCGGAAGATGATCGATGGATTAGCATTGTAAGTGCCATTCATGTCACACACTTTTTGGGAAATATACACACAGCTTGATTGAATTATAATGGCTTCTTTTCGTGCGCTTAGCATAAACGATTTTTATCAGAATGTCGAGAAAAAGATGCTGAGGTTATATTCATCGGAGATTGTATCTTGGAAACGCTGCAGCATACGCAAACATGGAACCAGGTAATTTTTTTTAATGAAGAATGAAAAAGTGTGGATGTTTTATTTATTGATTTTCTTTTCAACAGTACTTTGCACCGATGCATTCGTTAAATTTTAGCATTTATTCGGATGAAACACAAAATACGCTGTGGCGTATTCAAAACGGTGCACTTGATAGTGTCAAACCAAAAGTAAGTATTGCGAGTTTCAAACACTTGGGATCGAATCATGAAACATGATAGAGAGAATGTGCCCATTGATTGATATGTTTACCGATTTTATAGGTAGTTGTCTTATTGGTTGGGACAAACAACACCCAACATACCGCTGAGGAAGTAGCTGAGGGGATACTTGAAATTGTCAAAAATATCCGAGAGAAACTCCCAGACGCCTACATTGTTTTACCGGTAATTTTATGATATTTCTTCAACCGATTAATGTCCTGAGCATTTTTGGCTCAGAAAAGTTCTGAAGACCACAGAAGAGCTCAGATCAAGTCATATATCAACTCAGATTAACTCAGATCAACTCAGATCAACTCAGATCAACTCAGATTAATTCATACCAACTTAGACTAACTTCATACAACTTATTCTTAACTAACCGATTTGATTTCTTCACCAGACCTTATTACCTCGTGGCCAGCAGCCGAACAAACTGCGTGAAAAGAATAAGCAGGTGAACAAGTTGATTGCAGAGAAGTTTTCAACTAATCGAAAAGACAAAGTGCAAACGGTACAAATCGATAAGGGTCTTGTGCAGGCCGACGGAATGATCAGTCATCATGACATGTTTGACTATTTGAATCTAACGAATGCCGGCTATAAAAAAGTCTTTGAACCCATTTTCGATTTGCTATCTCAAATTTTGACTGAGAATGAACCGGAGAAAGATCTCACTCCTTCTGAGTAAAAGAGCAAACAAGCAAATAATTGCGATTTCTTTGATGCGAAGACTAGCTTTTATTTCCATTTTTAAAATGATTATTCGTGCAGGTCTTATCGCTTGTGAAGAAAAAAACAAAAATAGTTCCATTCAGTTGTCACCACATTGTGCAAAGAAGAAAAAGAGCAAACCTGAAAAAAAAACTAAAAGCAAAAAAGGCATTCCAAGCTTCGTGATTAGGAAATTAAGTGTCTATTTATTTTTTTACGTTTAAAATGATCTTTATTTTCATTATTATTGCTTACTTTAAGTTAACATTTTAATCATTCCAACCGGATTGAAATCCTTTTGCAAAATAGCTTGAAACTTCGATAGAAGGAGATTGTTGATGATCTTCCTAATTTGTAGGCTAATGAAATTCAATTAAACAATAATTAAGAGTGTGATTTTTTTCCTCTGATACCTATGAGATTTTCATGTTTTTTTTGTTAGTTTTTAGTTATGTTGATTTAAAAAAAACGAAACTCTTTACATCTCATTATTGAAATTCAAAAACCAAAATATTTCGCAAAGAAAAATACGCAGAGTTGAAAACGACAGCAAAGCTAACGCGTAATAAGGCACCAATGTTAGAATTAAGTCAATACCACGAAGCAAGCTTTCTTTATTTTCTGTTCTCAATTTCACCAAGCTTCGCATTATTGAATAAAATTATACATTCCCATATAGATATGGTTAAATTATAATTTTGTCATTTTTTTTCTGTTTTGCCTTATTGATTTCTAAGAAAAGAAAATATCATAAACAAGAGATTTTGTTTTCATTTGAACAAAAAAAAAATTAAAACGCTATTTTTTAATCCAAAATGATATGAATAAAACACTATTGAATATACTCGCTCAAATGCTAACATATTTTTGCAATAGCCAATCGAATTGTTTGAAAATGAATTTTCTACTCGAAATAAATGTAACAAACAACAGAATAACAACTATCAAAATAAGTTTATGTGAGAGATGCACTATTTTCATTCGAAAATCAAATAAAAACAAATTTTACCATACAAAACAAAGCGTTGTTCCCATTTTAATGTGCGCCATTTAGCGTGCACGATAAAATCTTGTCCGTTCTAATGAAATAATTTACGATAAGTTGATATTTTGAAATTGAAACACAACTAGTTCAGGGGCATATTCCATCTATTAGTATAATTATGAAAAACATTCTGTCGAACACACATTTCCTCATATATTTGTATCGTGCAAAAAAAAATTCAAATTTTCAGTAAAACACTACTGATCGCGTTCAAAACCAATGCTCAATTTCGCTGTTGCATGTTTTGCCAAAATCGTTCCCTATCGAAATGTCATAGGAAATTCGTGCTGTTTTGCGCGCGCTGCGGCGAAATTAAAACGACAGCATCAACGATAAACAACGTCATTTTTTCAAAACATTGTCTTGTCAAATGCTCAAGTCGAATTTCATCATAAATTTGTTTGCCGGTAAATCGTTAGCATCGTCTGGTATCAGGTAAAGTATAATTGTTTGAAAACAACGGATTGTTAAGAAATTATGGAGATAATATTGAAAACTATCGTTTTTTACAACTACAATTGATTCCGTACAGTTTTCTTCGCAAAATGAGTGGCACAGCCGTTGAACCGAAAAAGCGTAATATTGAAATCAAAGCGCGCATTGCGAACGATGCAGGTTATGCGAAACGTGTTGAAATTGCAAAAACCCTAACCAAAACAGCCGGCGAAGTGTTGAAGCAACGGGACGTATTCTACAAAGTATCAAATGGTCGATTGAAGTTACGAGTTCAGGTGTGAAGTATGTTGAATTTCATCAAGAACAGAATCTCAAACGATTTATTTTTAGGATGGAACGGCAATGTTGATTCAGTATGGTCGGCCAGATGTGTCAGGGCCAAAATTGTCTGAATTTGATATTCTTGATATAGCTGAACCCGAAAAGTTGGATCGAATGCTCAGCAATAGTCTCGGTGTGATTGGCGAAGTGAAAAAATCACGATATTTATTTTTGCATGAACAAACGCGCATCCATTTGGACAAAGTCGATGGCTTGGGCACATTCCTCGAGTTTGAAGTTTGCTTGCGACCCGAACAAACCATCGAAGATGGAACAATAATCGCCAATGATTTGATGAAACTGTTTGAAATCAACGATACGGATCTCATGACTGGCGCATATATGGATGAATTACTGCAGAAATGAAATCATTCACATCACATTTCGAATCATTTGCTGCCATTACAAAGGGTGAATTGGTTTTCTTTTTGCGCGGTTGTGATTATTTAACTGTATCTTTCCAATAAAAAAAAATAAAACGAATAAGATGAACATTGTTGTGATGGTTTGTGTATGTGATAAATTTGCATTCGGTTGAAGCGTCAATACAATGTTGATCCCACAATATTGTGTCAAGACTTCAGTGTCATTAAACATATGACAGCACCCAAGCTATCCACATGTTGTACACACACGCAAACTAACACAACAACACAACCAATACCCACGCAGTGCGTACGGCTGCTGTCAAACATACGAGAAAACGAGGTAAACACACAAACCTATACATACACGCGCCACTGAATGAATGCGGCCGAATTCGAGCAAATAACATTGCTGTTCATTTATCGTACGATAGTCATTCGCGAATGAAATGTCATACGGTGCGCTGCGCATCTGCAGAAAAAGTTTCCTTTGAATATAATAAAAAAAAATTCTCCGCATTTCAGTACACGCTGTATCATCGTTCGGAGTTTTTCTTTTTTTACTTCTCCCTTTACGTTCTGCTTAATTGTAAGCAGTGAATTCACGAAACGACAGTGTGATCGCGAGTCTAACCGATTGTTTTTTTCTTCTATTTACACTTTTGTGAAGAAAAAAAAACTGATATGAAAGTAGAATTTCGTGAAATAAATTGAACTTCATTTCATTCGATTTGATTGACCTAGCAGAAAACAACACGTCATGCTTGTGTGTATATACGTGCTGAATCCGAGTTCAAATTAGAATTTTTAAAAAATTCATGAATAAGTGTTAGAAATGAAATTGAGTTGAACACGAAGCAGCAAAACTATTAAGCGATTGGCTTCGACATTGAACCGTTTGTGTTGTGTGTACAGTTTGAATTGTGCAATTAATTTCTAGTTCTGAAACAAAGAAATAGAAAAAATAAAATAAAAACGCGGGGTTATAAATCAACAACTATAGATTTAGCGAAAGATTTTCATATTAACCTTATGATCCGATGTGAAGTTAATCAGTGCTTTGGAATCTGATTAGTTTTTTTTATATTGTAATTAAGCGTATATAGTTCAAAATTGCGTGAACCTAACAAATAAGTGCAAATATATAGGAAACACAGAGAATAGCTTGTAGTCATGGCACCATCATTAAGCACACTGAGACAATACCAGAGCAGTTTAATCTGCTTATCAGGACTGTCAGCTGCGGCTTGGATTATCATCTATGGCAAAACAAATAAAAAACAGTGAGTGTCACCATAAAAAAAACGGCTGTGTTCTGTAAAATACGATAGAATAATACAATTTCAACTGCCAATTAACTGGTTATATTCGCATCTATTTATTGCAAACAAAGTAATGACGACGCAACTGTTAACAATATGCGGTATGCTACATTAGCTGCACGAGCTGCACAAGTTTGCACTTCCATACTCGTGCAATCTGAATGCATATAACAATAATCGACGCAAAAAATAATATAAACGATCCACTTGATTCCATATTTGCAATATTCAATTTTTCGCGGTTTCTTCTTCTTCGTTGTTTTTTTCTTCATCAAATGCAAATAAGACTACATGTAGTTGAAGCTCATTCATTCTTCGTTTTAAGTAAACAAACGCAACAAAATGTTTGAAAAAAATGTGTTTTTCACTCTGGATTAAAATCGAAAGTTTAATTTCTGCCTTCACTTCACAGAAGAACAAACAAATGTTGAACAATCCAATTATTGACTTATCAATTTAGCATCCATGTTGAATTTATTTATCGGTGTAAATGGCACATTAAATTCTGTACGTTCACAGTGCGACCAATAACTTGCTAATTATCAATTAATATCAAAATGACCCCTAAGTAGTAAATTGGCGAAGCTGTTACATACTAGCTATAACCAATTGAGAAAAAAAAATAATACTTTCGTTTGTCTATTATTATGTGCAAACAGTGAATCCCATGAGCGCAAACAGTGAATCCCATCAAAACTTATTACTTCCGCTGACTCATGTTGGAATCTCTTGAAGAAAGTTTCACCGATGCTATACACAACGCACTGTTTACAAAGTAGAAAATTTATTCAAAGTTGAATGGAAAGTTACTATCACAACATCGGTTGATTTCGGTTGGGCGCTCCAACATCGCGTTTTAGGATACAATGTCTGTTTAATTTTTTGTTAGCATATGAACTGGGGCGTTGTAATGCAAGCAGTTGCCCAATCGGATCACTGAAATTGGATAAACACTGGGCTCATTAAGACCATTTCGAATCAGCATAAATGTTTATGCAATCCGCTCTAACTGCGTCATTGTTATGTAAAAGTGATTCGAATTACTACAGAAAGAAATCTGCATAGTTTTTCCTAAATATCCAGCACAGTTCTGAAGATTTATTTACTGCTTGATTAAAATAAGTCTATAAGTAACTTATGAAATTGCACACTATATCAAATGAGGAAAAGTGCGCTTTAAATTGATAACAATTTTCCTTGAATATGTAACCCAGAAATGTTGATGATGATTGATTGTATGATTCGATTCCATTTTTTACATTTCAGAAAACTTTCACGACCTGAGGATCAAATTCAATACACAATCGCGGATAAAAAGGATAAACGTGCCACAAAGGCACATGTAAATGCGGCCTTCTTTCGACAATTGCGTGAACTTTTACGTAAGTATTGTTATGTCTTTTTTTAAACCCACATTGAAATCTATGAAAACCACACAAAAAAAATGACACGGTGAACGTCAAAGATTAACACAGTTTCGACACAAATTGCGCATGGTGAGCATAGAAAAATCACCATAATCATGAGGCGGTCAGTCCATTTGTTATTTGTTTTATACATTCACCAAAAATTGTGATTCGGTGTGAAGTGACATTTTTCATTCCGAAGATTTATATTTTGTTTTATTTCGCTTGCTGTGAATTATTATCGTACCGCACTTGAAACAATCTACGATGATTAGAAACGAATAAGGGAAAAAAAATACTTATTACAAATGCTTCGTTGACCATTCGTGATCATTACAGAGTGGCATTAGCGAATAGCAATCTTGTAAATCATTTTGAATGATTTTTAAAAGCAATACATAGTTTGAGTTCAACGCAGATGAGTGACAGCTAAATTATTTTCCAAGCTGTATTCAACACAATTATGGACTGTTTAGCTACTGTATACAATGACGTGTAGAGAAGAGAAAAAAAAACTAATACTTTGCCTTCATATCGAACGGGCTGTAAATGAGTTTAGTTTATATTCTAATTAACATTCGACTTCCTAATGAGTATTGCAGCGACAGCAGTGCATTTCTTGGTGCCATTATTTATATTAACCCATCGTAGCGTGTCGTTTGTGTGTGTGTATGTGTTTGAGCGTAGCGTTGGATACGTCAATACAGCATAATTGCCCTTTGATTTGCAATCATTGCGACGTATGAGAATGCGTTTTTGCACTTATCACTACCGATCACACTGCGTATTTTTTAATTCGATTCATTATTTATAAGTCTGCAATTTTTTCTCCCTCTTTCTTCCTTTTTTTCTCTCTTTCTCACGATAAGTCAAAGTTTATTCAATATTTATTGAAGAAAAATGATAATTTCACGCAAAATAATTCAGGAACCAGTGCAACCAATTCCACTGGCAGAGACATACGTCTGGAAGTGTGTGGGAATGTGGTTTATTTATATTATATTTTATTATTCGAAGGAAACGAATAATTCAACGACTATTTTTAAAGCTGACCAATGTCTTGGACATGATTCCATCAAATGCCATGGAATTGTACTGAAACACCTATAAAATGTTTGCGAACGAGTCGTTGCGTGCAAATACGGTAGTCGCAAGCCATCAACTGTCACTCGGAATGTCTTAAATAAACAATCGATTGTGAAAAAGGCAGAGACCATGATGCATTTTTGATTATAAAAAATGTATTTTTTTTTAACTAATTATCATTAGCAGCCATAACTGCAATTTTTGTGATGTGCTCTGGCGATTGTGGCTAATATAATAAATACCGTTGCCATTTATTGTCCACTGTTCAGTACACCGGGGCCTTTCTAAATATTCACGTGAAACGCGTTCCATTCAAATTTTTCACCTCTTACCGCTTCTGAACTCAGCGTATAAATCAAAGCACATGTATACTTAATGTGATTTTAATGATTCTTTCGGTGGGAATTCAACTTCCTAATGCAAACGAAGAAAAAACGAACGCTACTTTCAACAATTTACGTGAGAATTAATTGAAATTTTCTTCCAATAATTTCGTTTGTTATTGTTTTAAGCAATTGGTGAGCCTTTATTTTTATTCGGTTAAATTTAGAAAAACCTATTAAGAATAACTCGTTCGAAGGAATAAACGAGAAGCATGGCAACAACAATGAACATTCTACGTCATCACACTTTGAATGGGCAAAGTGGTAAAACATTAAAATAAAAATTGATTTAATCGATCAGAAGGAACGAAAAATAAAAACAAATCGAACCAAAATACAAAGCAACACTAGCTTATGACGTAGCTCGTCAAACCACTGTGGCAACGATGACTGGCCATAACAAATAGACACGAGCGAACACCATACGAATAAAAAAAAACGGATGAATATATCAATAGTTGAGCGAAAGGAAACTTGTTTTTCTGTACGCTTGACACTTTGCAACCGGCAAAATTATCTTTCAGTTCGTTTCGATCACTAAAAATTTGCTACCAATCGCTTGTCTTGGAGAAGTTTTGGAAGAAAAAATGGGACCGCATGCTTAGAAACATAGCAACGAATTCGATTGGAATTGAGTAATATAAACACGTATTCTATGAAGAGCTTATAAATACGTAAATCTATAGTTGATTTACAGCCAAATTTTATTCGGCTTTCACTATAAGTTTATTTTGAAATGTCATGCCGTGTGGGTTATTTTGAATCAAGCTTTGAACGATACCGTCAGAATGTGTCCAAATGCGATATAATTCTCCGTTAATATTAATCGAAAAACTTTCGAAGAGAAAAATATCTGTCAATCCAACATTCTCAGCAATTGTCTTAAAAATGGGATTTTTATGGATTCGACCTTTGTTCCATGCTTTCATATTGTAAACCAATGGCCGAACCGCTTCACTCAATCAGTTTCACCATTCACATTTAAAGAGAAGGAGCGTTCAAGGTCGTTGCGTTAATTTGAGCAGCGCGAAAACATACACACAACATCTACTCGCACCTGAACCACTGAACAAATACCGAGAGTGTGGTAGCGAAGAAGAAGGGACAAAATTGTTGCCAGCACCTTTTTTCGTGGCCCAACTTGAATGTAACCGAAAACGAAATAAATATAAAATCTTTTCCCTCCTTCGGCCATTTTTTGGTGCTAATAATGTTTAGCTGATGGTTATTGGTTTTTTACAACAACAAAAAACTGACGATTACGACAGTCATATTGAATAAAAAGGTAAACAAATACACATCAGTTTAACCTGTGTACGATGACTCAAGGACTTTGTTGAAACTTTTAACCGTTTTGAAATGATGGACAAAATGACTAAATGAGCAATTGTGTGTTTCCGTCAATATTGTTATTTGAAATAACTCATTTCTAATAGTGATTGATTTTTCTTCTTCTTCTTCTTTATTTACAAACGATTAGGAATCATTATCCCCGGACCATGGAGCAAAGAAACAATGCTCTTACTTCTGATTGCCGCTTCTTTGGTGGCACGGTCGGCTAGTGATATTTGGATGATACAGAGTGTTACAATCATTGAAAGTACAATCATTCAAATGGATCGACGGAAATTTCTGAACACATTGTTAAAATACTGCACTGCCTTACCATTGGTACGTATTTGTGAAATTATGATTGACGTGGAAAATCGATTGGAATAACGCTTTCTTCTTCTTTTTTCTCCATTTAGATTTCAGTGGTGAATAATGTGCTGCGATGGAGTATAGGCGAACTGAAATTGAGTTTTCGGGTCAATTTGTCGCGACACATGTACAATCACTATCTAAAGTATGTATCTACAGTGAGTTCAGTCAATTTTAATGATTCAACGATATATTCTAATTTTGGACAAATATATTCATTGTGTGATTGGTTCTTCTTCTTGACAGGGGTTTCACATTCTACAAAATGTCAAATTTGGATAATCGAATTTCGAACGCCGATCAGCTGCTCACCAATGACATTGACAAATTCTGTGAAAGTGTTACCGATTTATATTCGAATGCTAGCAAGCCCCTCCTTGATATCATGATTTACATGTACCGCCTGACCACAACTATTGGCGCAAAGGTAATGAGGAAACTAAGGCGAATTTCTGTAACGAACAACTTTTTTTTAAATTGTTCTTGGTTTTTAGACTCCATCAATTCTTCTGCTCTATCTGTTCCTGTCCGGTGTGCTGTTAACACATCTGAGAAAACCAACAGGTTTGTGACGACATACGATCACATTGAATTGTTTTCCTCTTAATAATCAAGTTATTCTGTTTCGTAGGACGGCTAACGGTACAAGAGCAAAAACTTGAGGGTGACTTTAGATACGTGAATTCACGATTGATTACCAACTCAGAAGAGGTGAGTGAGATTAGTTTTGACTTTGCGAATGCAAAAAAACATCAAAAATAAAGACCAATTCAATTGATTTTGTTTTAATTTTTTCAATTAAATTTCATCTTCAAACAGATTGCATTCTACCAAGGGAACAACCGTGAGAAATTGACCGTGTTGGCTAGTTTTTCGAAATTAACACAACATTTGCGGAAATTCCTCGAGTTCAAAGTGGGCATGGGAATCGTGGATAATATGATTGCTAAATGTATGTTACAAAATAATGTTTCAATTTGTCGTTTTGACACAAACCTAAAATAATGTTTGCTCTCCCTCGCAGATATTGCATCGGCAGTTGGTTTCTATACCATTTCCATTCCATTCTTCACGAAAAATCATCCGCTGCTTGGCAAAAATGAAGCACAACGACTCACCTACTACTACACATATGGTCGTATGCTTTTGAAACTGGCTGAAGCGTTGGGCAGACTGGTTCTGGCTGGTCGTGAATTATCACGATTGGCTGGATTTACTGCCAGAATGACGGAACTTACGCACGTTCTAAAGGATTTGAATAATGGCAGATATCAGCGATCGATGGTGAGCAATTCAAGTAGTGCGGACGCGGATATTGCCCCGTGCAAGGGATTAATTTCATTCCAAGACAACATTATTAAATTCGAAGCCGTACCGTTGGTTACACCAAACGGAGATGTGTTGGTTCGTGAATTGACATTCGAAGTGAAATCCGGGTGCAATGTCCTAGTTTGTGGGCCGAATGGTTGCGGAAAATCTTCATTGTTCCGAATTCTTGGTGAATTGTGGCCATCTTGGGGTGGTAAAATTACAAAACCTCCACGAGGCAAACTATTCTACATTCCACAGCGACCGTACATGACATTGGGCACACTCAGAGATCAAATCATTTATCCGCACACGCACGAAGAAATGAAAAGGCGAGGACACACCGACAGCGATTTGCAACGGTATTTGGAATTGGTGCAACTACCGTATTTACAAGTACGTGAACGTGGGCTTGATGCGGTTGAGGATTGGATTGACATTTTGTCGGGCGGTGAAAAGCAACGTATTGCAATGGCACGATTGTTCTATCACAGTCCTCAGTTTGCTATTCTTGACGAGTGTACCAGTGCTGTGTCCGTTGACGTTGAAGGCAGTATGTATCAATATTGTAAGAAATCAGGCATCACGCTGTTCACAGTGTCGCACCGGAAGTCACTCTGGAAATACCACGAATATTATTTACAATTCGATGGCCGAGGCAGTTACGAATTTGCACGCATTGACGAATGCAAAGAAGAATTTGGCTCATAAATGTGGTGATGCAAATATTTAATTTTATTACAGAGATGAAACGCTTTTTGTGTGTTACGAGTGATGGCGTCGGGTATAATTTGTTTGTTTCTGCTGTTTTTTTTCTTTGATTTTTCACACGATGAATTTTAAAATAAATTATTTTTATTCATGAAAAAGAAATTCGGGCGTTTTGTTTTAACGTAATTGATTTTGGTTGGGAACAAATCCGAGGAATTTTGTTGTTTTCAGTAAAAATCGGCCGTTCGCTGACACACTTTTCGTCATAACTAGGTAGGACTTTTTATATTGTAGGCTAGAGGCATTTCTCACGCAAAAAATTGAAACGAATGTGCAAGAATTTAAGATATTTCTTCTTTCCAATTGAAATGGTATAAAAATGTATGAAATTGTCAAATTTAATGTGAACCAAATTACTACATTCCAGTCAATTCTAAAACATTTTGGTGAATTCACTGCAATTTTATAAATTCGGTTCTGTTAGCAAGTACAAATCTTAAGTACGTACCTAAGCTTAAGTATAAAGATTGTCATCCTTAAGTAGTACTTAACATACTTAACGTACTTACGTATCAAGCTTAAGTACGTACTTAAGGTTGAGTATGCTAAGTATTACGTACTTAAGCTTCATACTGCGAACGTATTTCACACATTCAGTGTAAATGTGTATCCATTTACCCGAATTGATAGAAATGGAAGAAATTGTTCAATATTTATTGGAATGGTTCCATTTTTTAAGTGAGAAATGCCCCTAGATTGTAGGACTTTTAAATTATCATGGGAAAAACATCATACTCGCCGGGCTTCAAGAAAAAGAAAATAGAATGGACGTATTATTTCGACGATGTCATTCAATTTTATTTCAAAATCTCTAATGGATTACACTTGAGACGCAAATCGTCATTATTCCTTCACTTCTTAAGTACTTATCATAAAACCTAATTTGTAGATGCTGTTAATATTTCGTGTCATTTTGGTTTTTTCCATTATTTGTCGCGGTGCTTACTCCTAAATTCATATTTGCGGTTACAATTCATTCCATTATTTGTATGTTATTTATTATCTCCCTAGCAAATGATAAAAATCAAGCGACGAAACAGTAATTCTTGAGGGGGTGGGATTGATAAAACATAGCAACATTTAAAATCTCGAATAATAATAAACACACGCACAACTACCGATTGCACAGTTAAATTTGGTTTGCAACCTAAAATCAACACTTGTATGAATTGGCCAAAATGAAAAATAAAAAGTCATTGTCGCTGCTGCTACTGCCGCCGATGCGTCTAGTTTCCATAAAGCCGAAACTTTCGAATCAAAATTCTTTGCTTGAATTCGAGAAAGATGCCATTACTTCAAGGATGAGGCAACATTGAACTCTTGAGTTGTAAATCATAAATTGTCATTTAAATCACGTAGAAAATTCGAGCAAACAGTTCATTTCGGAACAAAAAATGAAAGAAAAACCGAATCCAAAAGAAAAAAATAACGAGCTAATTTTCTGAAAACCAATTCATTTTTATTTTACTTAAACACGTCCGCAATTACTTCAATAATAATAATAATAATTAAACTAAATTAACAAAAATTATGCTAACTGTGTAATAATAACGTTTGTGAACACAAATGCAAGGCGATAATTTGTGGTATATGAATGCCACAAATCATTTTCATACACTTTTGCTCTCGTTTATTTTAAAAAGAGAAAGAAAAAAAAAGATCATTTAAAATAACTAAAAAATAAAAACTAAATAGAATTCTATTTCTCTTCTTCTTTCAACGTGTGTTTATTCATTTAAAAAATCAAAACTTCAAACAAATAAGAAGCGAATTTGAACAAAGTATTCAATGTACAGACATGTTTGTTAACTCAATTCAATTCAAAGAAGAAAGGAAGAAAAAGAAAATCTCGGGCAAATTGAATTTAAAAGATCAACCGTTGTAAAAATATATGTAAATAACTAAAATGTTTGCGAAGATCGTGTGGCCATTTGGCCAGGTATATAATCGTTAAAATAAAGAAAATTTCATGGTTTGTGTACATAATATTTTGTTTTTCTTCCATAGTATGTGTTTTGTATGCATTTTTTTCAAGTTTTTCAAAATGGTTTTTTCGTAAGGCTTCTGATAAACAATATATAGTATAATATTTTTTTTTTGTTTTATTGGTGTAAATAAATGATAAGATTTAGATTCAAAAGCCTTGATGAAGGTAAAATAGTCATAAATTTTTTGTAATTTGTACGATTCGAAATCTATGTTTTACTCAAATATCTCAGTTTTCAGTACAATTTTTTTTTTCAATTTGCAATTTTTTTTCTTCAATTTTTTTTCTGCTCTCAAAAAATTGTTAAATTTGAAAATTCGCTTAGCGATTATCATCATAAATGAGATGTTTCTATTATCGTTTTTGTTGTTGTATTTGCGTGTGAAAACATTTTGCCAAATAAACGCAGAGTTTCAGTTGATCAAATGGAAAAAAAGTTAACGATTTGCAAAACAAATATCGATTAAAATTCAATTAACTTCAAATGAAAAAGAAAGAAGCAAATCAAATGGTAATTTGAATAGAATCGGTTCTAGTTGAACGATATAGTGTAACACCAAAACTTTAATCGAATGAATTAGGATAACAAAAAAAGAGGAAACAATTGTTGGCAATAATGTTTTTACACATTAGAATATTCAATGCTTAAAATGTACTGTATAATTTTTTCTGTTATTATTTTTTTTTAGTAATTTCCATTGTTATTGTACTTCTAAAATCGAAAGAACACTTCTTACTCGCCTAATACTATTCTGCACTGTAATTCATTTTCACGTTTCAAAGGTATTGTTCATTTGTTTATTTAAATCTTCTTAATTCGGGGAATACGTTATCCTAATTAGCTCTCTATCATTAATGATTTCAGATTAGTAATTTGTTTGTATTCTTATCATTGTTGTTTTTTTCCTCTTAATTCATTTCATGTGTTCCTTAAACGCTACACTTTTCACTTTTCACTGCGATATTCTTTTAAATTGGTATTGAATGTTAATTATTTTAGTAGAATTGTGTTTTTATTTCAAAGTTCAAAAGTAAATTAATTCAAATGTATGTTATTTTTGTTGTTGTTGTTGTGGTTTTTAAATCATTTATACAGTTCCTGACATATGGGCATAAAGTCGCTTGTTTTGAAGCGGATGAGATCGTAAAATGACGACGATTGATTTTCATGTTCCTTTTTTTTAGTTTTAAGCAAGTGTATTGACTTGTTCAACAATTGGATTGGTCGGCGGGGCTTCAACAGTGGCCTGAATAACATTGGTGGCATTTGATCCATCATTTGAGTTGGGTGAATTTGTTGCGCTCGCGGTAATCGTATTGTTTTGGGCTGCTCCAATGATTCGACCACCATACGGTGCTGAACGCATTTTACGGGCTTCACGTCGTTCACGTCGTTGTTGCATTACCAAACGCAATTGATCCAATTTTGTTTTGGTTTTGTTGTTCTCAATTTCCATATTGCTACACTTTGTACAGATCAGTTGGACAGAGGCGTCTTGACTGGCCGATAGCGGTGATGACGACGACGACAACGCTGATGATGATGACGACGATAATGTGGATGACATTGATAAATCGCCAGTTGAATTATGAAAATCGAATGCGTTTGAATTAGATGTGTCCAATGTTGTGTTCGAGCTAATCATCGATTGGTCTGGGGATGCAGTCGGCGTTACGGGTGCCGAATTGCTCATTGGCATTTGACATTGACGGCAATCGATTAATGTGTTTGCTGCAACGGGTGTCGTTGGCAACGATGTTGACTTTGATGTTGTGGGCTGAGCTGAGTCATTGGTAACATAAATGTGACGACTGGTATTGCGGTGATGCGATCCGGACGATTTGTGGCAATCGGCATTGCAACCCGATTTGCTGCTGCTCGATGCTGTACATTTCGAGCAATGTGCACGTTGTGACTGAATGCTGCCGCCACTTCCGCTACTGCTGCTGATTCGCTTCGATGATGACGACTGGACAGAAAAAAAAATCGAAAGAAAAACACAGATCAGTTAGTACTAGATTGGGAAAATGAATTCGATATTGAGAAACTTACATATTTGCGTGAGCTGTGAGCCGGTTCGAAGCTGATTCGAGCACCGCGGCTGTAGTGGGGTGTTGCGCTGAGCAAATCGTTAAGGATATGAATGACCGTGGAGATATCACGTTTCGGTCGACCGTATCGATCTTGTAGAGCAGGATTCAGGGTGCCCGAAAACGTGCCCGAATAAATGCCACGTCCGTGGTTACGCATCGATTCAATAACAGCGCCCGAACCAAATCCAGCCACAGTGCTGCTGCTAGTGTTGCTAGTGCTGCTACTGCTGGTCTGATGAGATAAGGCGCTGCTTGCATTGGTTGGTGTGGTATTGTTGGTGGTTGGACGTTGGACACGCTTTTCCTCGCTCACCGCAATGGCTGACGTTTCGCCTTTGCTGCTGAACACTTCTTTCGACAATTTACGCAACGTTTTTGTTAAGTTCCGTGATGCTTCGGCCAGCGTATCGGATATGGTCTCAACAGCGCTACCCGCGGTCGTATCAATGAGCTCGTTGTGCAATGATTTCGCCGCAACCATTTCGGCAATGCCCTGCTCGGCATGCGAAATATTTCCAGTGCTTTTCGAACGACGCAAAATGGTTGCATACGCATCGCTGGTGGTGGCTGCCCGAGCGCTTTGGATACTTTGGAATCCGGCTGATTTTGTCTTGGCAATCGGATTGTTGAGGGTTTTGTGGAGCAGTGTTGAGGATCGTGTGGCGGTTTTCAGTTCCGGATGATTGACATACTTTTTATGCTGTAACTGGTGGCGAGTTCGTGAATATTGACAATTCGTATCACAGCCCGATGCAGACGTGTTGCCGTTCTCAACGGATTTACATAGGCATGAGGTAATTTTGTTGCTGGTGTTGGTGGTGTTGGTGGTGTTAGCGGTGGTAGTGGCGGTCGGTGTGCTCATCGGAATGTGTTTCAGCGAAGAAGTTTTTATCGGACCAGATACCAAGTTTGACAATGACTTAATTGGTGATTGTTCCAAAAGGGCATCACCTTCGGTGCTAATCAAACTGGTATCCATATCAACATCGCCTTTATAAATTGATGCGCTGGTTTTAGTTTCAATTTTCTCCTTTTCAAGCGAACTGACGATTGTACGAAGCTCTTCGGTGCTAATCAAACTGGTCTCCATATCAATATCGCCGTTATTAATTGATGCGCTGGTTTGAGTTTCAATTTTCTCCTTTTCAAGCGAACTGACGACTGTACGAAGCTCTTCGAATTCATTCTTCGATTCAATCAGTTCGGAAGCGGTGGCGCGACTGGTCGATGGTTGCGGCGATAGGGTTTCATGGCGTGTTCGATACTTTTCGGGTAATTGATCTGATGACAAGGATTTGTACATATGATTGGCATTTGTGAATCGAGTTGGAGTTGAATTTGTACTGGACGATTGCTGGACCATCGACACCGATGGCCGTGCAGACGATGAAGTCTTTGAACGAAATATGCTGCGGGTTCGTGATGAATTCACCGATCCACTTGAACCGGCTGAGGTAGACGCACTTGAATTTGTCGGATTTACGGTGCTCAATTGTAATTGGATCAACATCATATGGTCACCCAAACGCATGCTTAAATTCAATGGCGTTTTCCCGGTCAGAAAATCATTCACTTGTGAATCGTTTAACGATTCCAAGGCTTGCATCACCGTATTCTCTGGACGTTGTGCCTGTGGGGAATACAGAAGAAAAAAAGAAACACCGATTAGAACGTTATTAAATGTCGTTTGAATGAAATAAACAATCAATGTGGCTAAAAATAGTCGCACTACGTCGTGGAGTTTGAACTAGTTCAACGGAGACTCGATACTTGATTAAATACTCTGTGTGCGAATGAGTTATTTAAGATTAAGATCATGCAAGTAATTAGAGTAAACAGAGTGGCTAACCGACCTAACTGGCTAGCCAGCCAACTACAGCAATCAAGTAGTGAAACATTTCACATGAGTGTGTAGAGAGAGACAGAGAAAAAAAACTGTCTTGAATAAGACTTTGTCGCGCGCGCGAGCAATTACCTTTCTATCGACCGATTTGATACACAATATTTGACCAAATCCAACCGTAAAAACAACTGTTAATCGTTAATCAATTCGCTACGATGCGATTAAAAACGTTCAATGATCAGAAAAATTAATAATTTATCGCGTTATGAAAAAAATCAACCTAAGCTGATTGGTTCGAATGCAAAGCGTTCCAATAATTAACATCTAAATGTGCGTCGCCGTTTGAATAATATCAATTTCAAGAATGTTCATTTTTTTCGTTCATTTCTCTCTCTCTTACGGTCTTTGCTGTGTGCCGTGAAGCATGATTTTGCCATCATTCGGTTTCAGTTTGCGGTGGAATCTTGTGCGTTTAATTGAAAGACATTTTGATGCTAGGCCAAAGCAAATAACCAACAACTATTCGTGATTTGATTGCAAAAAAAGACAAACAAACAAAAAAAAACATACACACGCAGAATACACAGAGATACCGGAGAATAAAAATAACAGTTTTAACGGAACCCAACCCGTAATCTGTGTCAAATGGTCGTTTGCTGACAAAAAATATGTTCTCTGACCGCTCTCTCTCTCTCTCTCTCTCTCTCACTCTCTTTCTTGCTCTGTCTATAATAACTGGCGTTGTCTTCTTCATTTCGGCAATATTTCATATGCCGAATCTAATTATTCTGTCCGCTTTGTGCTTTTACTGTCGCTACTAAGTTTATCATCACATCACACAATCGCATAACCGTTTGCAGTGATGATGCAAAAAAGAGGCGTTTCCACGCAACAACCACGACAGCAAAAAAATTGAACTGAACTTTGAACGATCTTCATGAATGTTGCGCTGATTTATTGAACCAATTTGATTTTCATAATTAAACCAATTCTTGCATTCAACCGAACGTAATTTGTTTTGCATTTTAATTAAAACCATGCACACATGAGCACAAAATTGTAATGCGAAATAAAAAAGGAAAATCCCATCTTTCGAAACCAGTTTGCAAACACTGATGGTTTACACACTTTAATTGAAGATGATAAATGGGAGATAACAGCCCGTTCAATCGAAATGACACGTTTGGGTATGAGATTGTGTGTGTGTGTTTATTTGATGCGTAGATATAGGCCTTTATAATTGTATTGCTCACAAGTCAACCATTACACATTGATCAATTATTTAGTGCTTAACCGATTTTAAATGCGCGTCAGCGTGCGCATGCAAACGATTGTGAGACGATCCATAAATACACCTTGTGCATACTACAGTTACGGCACTTTTTGACGCTGAATTTGAACAATTTTTATATTCGACTAACTGTTCATATCGTTTTTTCGCTATAAATTTCGTCATTGCATAACATTTTATCTTACACCTTCTTCGTTGCAAGGGAAATTTAATCGGTAGTCGTTCTTTCTCTTCTTCCATCATTTTCTACTCAAGCTTCTCTTTATTTATATCTATGTCTGTCTTTGCATAAATTTATGAGGAAAAACTCTCTTGCTGTTTGATGATTATAATTGTCAATACAGAGCCATATTAAATTGAAGCCCAATGTGAAATCGAACAAAAATTACGCTTAAATTTCTGTATAATGTCGTCAAATAAATTGGTTTCTCATTTGGGCGATTGCTTACACCATATTGAACAAGCATGTGGATAGAAACCACAAAAAATATTCTGCAAACACAATAAATATTGATTGAGCATTCGGCTTAAATTGGTTTAAATGATGACACCCTACCACGCGCGCCGACTTTTCCTCTCTCTCTCTCTTTTTATTTTATAATTATAAGTCGAAACGAAGCTCAAAAGAAACTGGCTAAGTATTAGTACGGAATAACGATGTAAAACATCTATTAAAAAAACGACTCAACCTTAAGTCTTTTGTGCGATGTTCGTTTCGACGAACGAATGTAGTTGAAGTTCAAAAGTTATCACGAATGTGATTTCGCAAAGAATGCACATTTTGAATGGGAAAAAAATCTAATTGATTGAAGCGATAATCATAAAAATCAAAATGAAAATACGTTTCATGCGAAATAATGTGAACATTTTTATTTAAATAGGAATATGTGTTCAGGCTAACGAGTAAGGTAAAATTCGATACGTTTTATTTCGTTCAATGAGTTTTTTTTATATGAAAATAGGGAAAATGCTCAATATGAATAAATGAGTTTTTTTTTTAAATTTTGCGGATTACAGTGTTTCGGGCGTTATTTTTTCGTTCATTCTCCGGTCGAATGGAATGATAATGGCGATAGTATATTGGAATCGGTGTATATGACTTTTGTCATAGCATCTGCCGACGCCCAACGTACATACACACACAAATTCACACGCTCACTCATTCCAAAAATCGAAACTCATTGCACACGTCTCGCTTGTTCGCTCGTTGTTTTATATTCAACACGTTCAAAATGGCCATATGACACATCATGTTGGTGATTTCTCAATAAAAATGCTCGCCAAATTCATACAAAACGTAATTGTTTTTTTTAATGAGGAATAGACAAGTGACGAAATAGCGCAGCAAGAGAGGAAAAAATATTTGCCGATTCAGATTGAGCGGTTCAAAAGAGCAGCGTGGCGAGAGAGCGACAGAAAAAAATACGTAAAAACCGACGCGAAAGAGAATAATCACTTAAGCATAGTCGTCGGACACAGTGTTGAAATTACGTGAATCGAAGCTGCGAAAATGATTCTTTTTTTTTCTTCATTTCTCTCTCTACTTCTTTGTCCCTATGTTGCCACTTTTCGTTGTCAACCGAAACACACACAAACAGAAAAACTACCTGCATGAGATTTGACATGCTTTAAATCAATGCGATACGATCTCCAATTTATATGGACGAATAATGCGATTTTATGAAATCGAATTTCATTCATTTGCAGACGGTTTGAATAATGCGACGACTTCCATCATTTTTATTGTGTGGCAAAAAGCCAAAGTGGCATTATGGCTGTCTCATTCAGACGAATGCTATTCGATATGTAATGCATGTGTCGTCGGTTGTTAATGAAAATATTTTGATAATGTCAATGACAATTGGAATTCATTGAATGTGAACGCACGTCATTACAATAAAATTAATTTATGAATTTTCGGGAATTTTCAAGAGTTATCACCAGACCCACACACACGATAACACGTCTCACATTTGATGAATATTGCAATTGGTGAGTCGTTCGAGAAAAACCCCGTTCAAATAAATTTCGGCAGAGTGAGAAGAAAACGAGAAAAATTACATCGAGATAATGTCGAGGCGTAACGTGTAGAACAGTTTTCAAATCGATCGAACAATGAGAAAGAGGCAAGAAAAACTGTGAACGAACAGTAAACCGCTACAAAGTACGAAAAGAACAAAAGAAAATGTGGGTCTGCATGACTAACAGCAACGAAAAATCGTAACGCATTGCCAATACAGCAAACTGTACGGGGCTTTTTTGTTTCTCTCTCTCACTCTTTTACTTGCTCGCTCGCTGTCAATTCAAACATAAGCCGAAATTTTCGTGTGTTTTTGTCTGCCGTCCTCAATATTTAACAATACGCACGTACGTTTAACAATAAGCACGCACATTTTTCGCCTCATCGTACAAACTATAAATTTGTTCGTTTCTCGTATGGCAATTGGATTGCGTAGCGGCTGCATGTGAGGCACTTTTTTTCATCATCTTTCTTTTATTCATCTCTCGCATTTGCTCACTCTCTCTCTCTCTGGCAAACCGTTTCATTCTCTCTGATGCATGTTTTATTGTGTATAAATAACCGAAAAGTTGATTAGCCGTAATCATTTAATGTTAAAAATAATCCCAACATTTCAGCTTCTGGAAAAAAAAGAAGCACATATGCCAATTATAGAATTTTTTGTTTGTTTTTTGGTTGAAACTGAACTGCGAAAAAAACCTTCATTTTCAGTCAAATTGCTTTGATTTTTTTTCTGCTTCCCATTTTTATTTCAGAAACTTGTAATTGACTCTGAAGGCTTTTGTTTTTGTCGGCGAAGACGATCGGCCAAATTGTATTTGAATTTCGTTGGAACTATTATGTGGTCACATACCCATATATCGGAAGAGAGAGAGAGAGAGAGAAAAAAACACAACGAACACAACAAATGATATGACAGTTGCCAAGCCAATATTAAGATAAATTCACACGCATCACACTTTACAATTATGAATCAGACCGGTCAGTCGTGCGCTCTTGCCGTTAAACCAGTTTTTTCCGAAGCAAACGTATCCAACAAATCACGACTGTTAGCCGTTTTGTGCTAAACGAGAAAGAAGCGGTATTTTTCTGTCCGGCTCTTCGGAGAAGAAAAATAAAAAGGCAATTCGAATGCCGAATGCGCAAAGATGTCTGTGAACAACGAAAAAAAAAATATATACAGCCAATAACAAATGTTTCAGCGGCAACAGCAGTCGCCACAGCGATTGAGTGTGAGTATGCGCCAAGCGAACGAAACGAGTGAAATGTACATAAACGATTTTTTTTTTTTTTGGTTTCGTACGTGGGCAGGAAGAAAAAGACATTTGTTGGATATTTATGTATGGTTGTTTGGAGTGTGTTTCGTAGAGCCTCGTCTGTGCATGTGTATGTATAAGAAGATTGAACGTAATTAATCGGTCGAAATAAATGTGTGTGATCACTGAATTTATGGGCCCAGTATGCAGTTTTCGGAGT